TTATATAAAAATATAATGGAAATAGTAAATTATTACATGTGATTTCCTATATTACTTTTTGATTTTTAATTCAATTACAAAAAAATTCTAAATTCGAATATTCTAAATATTTACTGTTTCCAAACAACTTTAATTTTTTTAAGCTATTATTAACAATAACACTGAAACAAACATTTTTTATTGCTATAAACATTATAATCTATAAAAACCTTAAAAGAATAACGCAATTTCATCGAAAAAAATCTTTAGGGGTAATGGGGATCGAATTCGGGTCCCGCTGGACTAAAGTCGCACGTTTAACGCACTCGAACGTTCAACGCAGTAAATGCTGAGGATTAAGAACCACACATGTTTCAGTTCAGTGCCGTAACTAGAGATTTTAAGCATTGGTATATACTTTTAATATTTTTTATGTAATTAAACATTTCTTATAAATAGGGGAGAGTGGGGCAAACCGGCACGGTGGGTAAACCGGTCAGGTGTCAATATCTCTGAAATGGCGAGATTGTCAAAAGTTCTATTTAGAAATTTGAAACAACCATGTGTAGTATACCTAATTTTTCAATTTGGCAATTTTTACTTTTGTTTGTGGAGAAAAAGTGGGAGAAACGCTGGGAGAAAAAGTTTTTTTAAAGTTTTTTTCTACACTTTTACGAATTTTTTCTTAAGGAAATTCTAAAGAAATCGTATAATATTTCCAAATATTAGGTCTTGGGTTTTGAAGGTACACACCTCAGGAATATTTACCACCAAAAACTTTGTTGAATTTGCAAAGCGTTTCTTTTAAACAAATATTTATTCTCAAAATGAGCCTGTGGAGCAAAGAGGCCAGTTTTCGGTGTGGCAAACCGGCCATAGGATATTTTCATTGTATTAGAGTTTTAAGAAAATTATTATTATTAATTAGAATGTTTTTTTCATTAAAATATTTACTGTCAATGAAAAATAATTGTCTTCCAATGAGAATTAGACCCTTTAATATTGTTTCTCTGATAATTTCAAACATTTTTTTTGTTATTTAAAAAAATTTTTTATTTAATTAAAATTTGATCCTGTATTATTATTTACATTATTACAAGCATTGTTCACATGATTCTATATGTTTGTTGTTATTGTAGATTATTATACAAATGCAATATTACAGATAAAAAAACCCAAGTGACCGGTTTGCACCATGGGGGTGGCCGGTTTACCCCAGGGGGTGGGGCAAACCGGCCCGTTTGCAAATTTTTTTCAAGTTAACCCAGAAACTATCCATTTTAATAATTTTTTTAAACAGGGTAGGAGTACTTTAAAGTAACATTAAAAAGACTAGATGGAAATTATATCTAGCCAATATCAAATTCAACTTGAATCTTTGACAAAGAGCGGTGGTCAGTAACTTTACAGTTATTTACAAGTCCGCCTAGAATCAGCGTCGGTGACAAAAACTGTCCAGTAACTTGAACAATCGAGTGGCTCCATGACAAATTTCTACTAGGGTTAACTCTTTGTAAAATTATAAGGGGGAGGTAAAGTCATACGATAATTCCCCATAATGTCATGACGTAGAGGTTAATTAACTTTTGAGGGGATGGGTATCTTATGGATATATTTTTTATTTTTATTGTTTTAATTGGCTGTTACAATATTTTCTTAATAAGAAATCAACAAATAACAAGTTAAGGAATATTTTTGTGGACTTATTGAACTAAGGAAAGTAGTAAAATTTATTAAGAATGTATTCAGTATACACTGCAAAAACAAGTGACTTATTTTGAGACGTTTTGTTCACATATTTAAAACACATGAGTTGTCTTGTGTCCACATATTTAAAACAGATATGTGTCTCATTTTTAGACGCTATAAAATGTCTCACACACACTAAAATAAACTTTCTTACAATATATGATATAGCTGAAAGGAAGTTTTAGTATTTTATTTTTCAAAAGTAGGACATTCAGGGTTGATATCAAAGATTGATATAATTTTACGAATAGCTTTTAAAGTAGTAGTATAGTAAACAGACGCGTCCATTCGTTATTTACAAAATTTATGTACGAAAATTCAAAACCACTTTTTCGTAATTTGCTAAAACTATTAACAAAAAATCAGAACTATAGTATATGGTCGTGACAGTAGACGACCAAACTCTTTGTTATCTCCCTTTTTTTACTCAATGATAGGCAACAATGGATTTTCTAAATTTTCTTCATAACATAATAACACACACTACCCTACCACATATAAAGCATTGAGAATTCACATCGGCAAACTCACACTAACAGATTTTTTCTGCGCCCAGTAAAAAAAATTCGATACACGGACCGTGGAGTTCGTATGCAAGCTCGGTAGCTCTTATGAGAAATATGAGAAATCTCTCATACGAGCCTTTTCCGTAATGAGAAGTGTATAGATGCTTGTATACGAGGTGACTTTTAAAGCATTTTTATTAATGTAACACTATTTTAAAGTAAATGTAGATAATAGAAATGAATTTTCAAAGTAAAACAAAGCTGAATTTATAAAGGAAATGAAGTTTTAAGAAAAAAAGGATAATTTTGTTCAAAAAATTTATTCACACTGAAAAGGTTATAGAATTTGATAATTCCTTGTTACTCTAACTTACCGACATTAGATATTTCTCGGATGCGGTAAGCACGATTTTGTATTGGCGGTAGAATAAATAAGTTTTTCTTCATTGCTAATTAATAATATATTATTATTTACTTATTATATAAATGTTCATATAAAATATTTAAATTTAATACAAAATCGTGCTTACCGCATCCGAGAAATATCTAATGTCGGTAAGTAAGAGTAACAAGGAATTATCAAATTCTAACCTTTTTTCAGTGTGAATAAATTTTTTGAACAAAATTATCCTTTTTTTCTTAAAACTTCATTTCCCTTATAAATTTAGCTTCGTTTTACTTTGAAAATTCATTTCTATTATCTACATTTACTTTAAAATAGTGTTACATTAATAAAAATGCTTTAAAAGTCACCTCGTATACAAGCATCTATACACTTCTCATTACGGAAAAGGCTCGTATGAGAGATTTCTCATACGAGCTACCGAGCTCGTATACGAACTCCGCGGTCCGTGTATCGAACTTTTTTTACTGGGCAGTACAAAGATTTTTTATGTATCTTATACACATTGAGTCACATTTAAAATGAAACACGAAATGAAATGAAATGTTTCAATATAAAACAGATTTTGTATCTCAATTGTTTAAACAATTAAAGCAACTCATTTTGAGACACGAGTGAGATACCAGTTTTTGCAGTGTATGTGAATGTAATTTCTAACTGGGAATAATAGACAGTTCATCACATTTCTTTAAATTACTTACTGGACATTTTCCAATTTCTGATAATACATTTTAGTTTCTTTTTAATACATAAATAAAACAGAATTTCTCAATAACCATTTTTCAATTTTACAACTGCACACAGTAAAAAGGCAGTCTTATTTTCATCCATGAAACTTTGACCATGACTTTGTTTAATTTTAAATCATGTATTTTCACTGAATTTAAAGAGAAAATTATGCATATTATCGGAAAAGAATGTACTGAATTTATTGCAATCATGTTAAAAAATAGCAGTTGTATACTTAATTTAAAAAGTTGGAACTATCAATTCATATTGCCTGTTCTTATTTTCATGCAAGAGGAGTTTACATTAAGACTGCCATTACTTTCAAGACTTGTTTAATTTTAGACAGTTCTTAAAATAAGATTTTCTTTTACTCGCACTATTAATGTTTTACAATATCTAAATTACAATAATAAGAAATTAAAATAAAAGACTTAAAAATCATGTTGTCTTTACAATTATGTTTTTATTTGATTTTTTCCATTTCGTCGTTTTCACTTTCATTTTCTCTCCACTCAATGCAGTTTTCTTAAAAATTTGTGAACGATGTAGATTTCTTCCGTCTAGTTTATTTTGTGACAAGTATTGTTTTCCTGGAAAACCATTTTTCATTAATTATTATTTTCACAATTTCAAAAATTTAGAATTTGTTTATGAAACTTCTCAATACTGTAAAAATCTTAACCTTGTAATTATTTATGTTAATTATTTTTTTAGGGTAACAAATTAGAATTTTAAAAATATTTGTGTTAATAATGACCACTGCAATTTAGACGAAATATGTGAACAACTTTTTTTACATTTTTCCTTTACGTAGTTCGTTTTAAGTGTTGTTCTCTTCTCAAGTTTGAAACCCATTCAAAACGGCTGGTGAGTCAGTTTAATAATTTTAATATGAAGCCTAATTGCTTTATCTTCCCACTTACCACAATTTATTTTTACAACAAAATTAAAAATTGAAAAGTTTTGGATATATTCAGTAAATTATACTTCATTAGAGGGTATTCAAGTATTACGTAAGCATATTTTTAAGGTTTTTAGAGACCCTGTCCTCCCCCTTGTAAGATTTTTTACATTCATTAGCGCCATTTTTCTGATAAAAGTAAACAATAGTTAGATCCCCCCTCAAATGTTTACATAATAAGTGAATAGTCCCTTATCCCAAAAAAATTACCTTCAGATGTTGCTCATCAGAAATTGCTTGCCGGTGTCAATTCATTTTGGATAAAATATTTATGTATTCAGAAAGTCGACACATTTTAAGATTTAATATTGTTGAATATACTTTTTTTCTTTTGTTGTTTGATTGCGTCACTTCAGTATGAAATTGAAGTTTCCTCGAACAAAAAAATTTATGAAACATTAGTGGTCTAATACTTTTGTTATTACTTAATCTTTATTTCATAATTTTATTTAAATTAAAGTTAATGCGTTATTATAACAGCAGTTGTCAATGGCTTAGTTTACAATAGTTTAAAATATAAACATGAATTAAAAAAATTAAAAATTTGCATTGTTTGTAATATTTTTTGTAATATAAAGAATGAGTAACATATTACAAAATATTTATATTCGTTTGTTTCATTACCTTTTTAATTTTCAAATAAAGATTAATTTGCAATAAAATTTTGTTATTTCAGTTAAATGAAATGTCTTATTTGAAATACTACAATTAGGATGGAAATCACTTTATTTATATTTGGACAGTAGAAATATATGTAATCTGTTGTTCTACTTAATTTTTCCCTGGTGATGAAGTTTTATTTGGAATTAAAATAAAGAAGTTTTTAACAGTAGAACAGCGATAATCGAAAACTCGGATAATAGGAACTAATGGAAATTTTAAAAAGTTAAATGCAATGAGCAGAAATAGTGGTTCTGTGAATTTTTTTTCGCCATAGACATGAGAAAGTATCTTTTTGGGACCTGTTTTATGCAAATAAAGTAGCACTTTTTAAGCAATTCTAGACAACTGCCGGAAAAATACTTTATGGCAGCTAACTGTCGTAAAAAGTCTTTTTACGGCAGTTAGTTGCCATTAAGTCTTTTTACGGCAGTTGTGCAGAACTGTCCTGTGTCAGTTTACTAGATTGAAAAATTGAATGATTGAAAGATTAAATGATTGAAAAATTGAAAGGTTGAATGGTTAAATGACTGAAAGATTGAACGATTGAAAGGTTGAATGATTAAAAGATTAATATTGAAAAATTGAATGATTGAGAGATTGTGATTGAAAGATTAAAAGGTTTAAAGAATGAATGATTGAAAGATTAAATTATGAAATTTTAGAAAGATGGAAAGATTAAAGGATTGAATGATTAAAAGATTGAAAGATTAAAAGGTTAACTTTTTCATATCAATGTCGAAAAAATAGCGTATGCGGCTCGCAAACTTTTAGGTTCTGATGATTTTAATACTCGCTGTCAGTGCGACTTCGGTTTGACTCCAACTCGCCTGCGCGGCTCGTTTCCGTTTCGCCTTCGTCGCACTAACGACAGTTCCTTTTGAAAACGAACGTCATTTTTGATTACTCAACTACATAAGAAACGTAAGCTATTGACAACAGCGTAGATAATTATTACTGCTAGCAATACTATTTAAATAAATGATTTTTCAAAATTTAATAAATATTAAACATTCTTCATACGTACCATATTATTATTTATTTTTAGCTTGGTTGTTGTTGTAGTTGTATTCGTTTTTTTTTTTTTTTTTTTTTTTCTCCTGGTGGAAATGCATTTAGGCACACCGTACGGTAGTGTGGGACTCTCCATTGTTGGACCTACCCACTAAAACCACCATTCTTGCTCACATTAAATGTAGTGTATGCCCAATGACATTTGTGCGAAAATTCAGCACAAGAAATTTGGACAATTGAAAGTTCTACTTTCTTGCGAGATGACTCATCGCAAGCTGTAGGACTTTGTATTATTAACTTATTCTCTTGCGCGAAACTCAACGCAAGTAAAAAGTTTCTTTATTGTGCGGATCTCAATGCACGTACATTTTTTTCTTTTGCGCGAAACTCAACGCAAGTAATATTTTTTTTAATGTACGCATCTCTCGATGCACATAAATTTTTTCTATTGCGCGAAACTCAACGCAAGTAAAAAGTTTTTTCTATACGCGAAAATCAGCGCAAGAATTAGGAATTTTCTGTTGCGCGAAAATCAACGCAAGTTATAAATTCATTTTTCTCCAAATGAACGTCATCGGAGGTAATAAAATTACTTTCTTGTATTCGATATTAATCTACTGTTGAAATGTTTGACAAAGGAATTGCATAGTACTTCTTCTTTATGCAAAAAACTGTTGCTGGAACTGTTATGTCATGGTAGGACACAAAGCGCAATGTTTCAGAAGGAAGTACTCTCCTTATGTGCTCTGTTCCATACAGATTCTCTATGACTTGAAACTGTTTACCAATAAGTCCAGAAACTGTTCTTTCTCCATTTCTATATGACAAGAAAGTCATAATAGAAAAAAAATCTTTTCCATTATAAGCAATACTGTCACAGAACTTTCGTTTCACAATGTCATGCTTTCTATACTTTACTCCGTGAATTTTCGCTTGCTTGTGAATGTGCACAAGTGTATTTTCATCAATTACCTCTTCTGCTTCTCGTATTAGGCGGAGTAACAGTTCGCTAGGGTATCTCTGTCTTTCTTTACCTATTCCAACATAATAATGTCCTGGTGACATATTTTGTGGAATAGGTTCATCTTTGATCTCCAGCAATTTTCTTACTCTTCTCTTTGTTTTTTCAGCAATGTCATCTGCGTTAATAGAAGATTCAACAAATTTTCTCAAAAAAAAGCGATCGACAATTTGATCTGCACGATCATGCGGACTTTTTACATCATCTTTTATTTTTGCACCAAAGCTCTCAAATGGGAATGTGGAATATGCCCATGATGGTCCCCAAGATTTTACGGAATTTGGACCATGTTCCGCTGTATGTACATTATATGTCATATTCGCGTTTCCATAAATATCTGAGGTAGCCACAAACTGCCTTAATAGAGTTTGTGCAAGATTCAAGTCGCGTTCAGATATTGATACATTATTTAAAATGAATACAGATTCACTCAGTAACCTTAGATTAGTAAAGTAAGGTTCTTTTAAAATGTCTTCAAGACATGGAAGAGCATAGTAAAATAGCCAGTTACGCCATTCGCTTGCTTTCCATTTGTGAAAAGTACATATACTTCGTGCTTGTCTACAAACTCTTGAAGGCAATTGTATTTTTTTGAGTTTCTTGTCAATCTTTTTCATAATTTTCTTTTGTCCAATATACCACTCTTTTCCAACATCTTCTAAAATGTGTGTGGTAATCTGTTTAGCGCATCCTAGAAAATAGCCGTGAACGTCATCGTGTATAGGGCCTTCTGCTAAATCAAAATGGCGTAAGGATGCAAAAGCATTGCATCCTCTTACACCCAAGAACGGTTCTTTATCCTGAAATACAATTTCCATGCATTGCAATATTTCATTGTGCTTGCGCAAGATAATTTCTTCATTGGGAAAAATAATTTTAGTATTATCCCAAAATCCTTGTATGTAGCATTTTGGACAACCGTAATACGAATTGTGAGGACACATTCGTAAACCTTCTGCCTTTGCTACTGCGTCTGCAGTAAATATTAAAGTTGTAAACTTACTCTCAACTTCGGGTCCATCTGGTCCTTCTGGATGCCATTTTATGCCTTCTTCCTCCAAGTGTCGCAATTGTTTAACAATTGGAAGTAAAAGAGAAGTGACATTTGGCTTTTTCTTACCTACGTAAATCCCTGCTAAAAGAACGTGTTTATTACGAGCATGGGGTGGCAATTCATTGATTTGTAACAGAATTGGAGTCACAGAAGCGTTTGATGATTTTGCCAAAGATACACCATCAACCCATAATGTGAAGGAGTAATTATATGGATTGTTCAAGAACCTACCTTCTTGAGAAAGTTTAACGTACCTTTCTCCATCGTAAATGTCCTCCTTATTATCATGATTTATCTTAACCCGTTCATACTTATAGCGCAAAGATGCAGCTATGTTTGGGAGTTTAAAGAAATCATGTAGTTGAGGAACGAGAAGTGGAAGAATAAACGTACCTAAATTGTCTTTGTCCTTGCCAGGTCCGCAATCACCACAGTGACAGTCTTTGGTTGGTTTCTTTCCATCACCAATTTTATCGTTGCAAAGGGTACAATATACTGAATACATTAAATTTGACCTATCTCTCTTCAACACTTTCCATAATTTCTCTTTCGTTGTTGGTAAATTGCATTCAATATACAAATCTTTGGAACATTGAAAGTCAGATATCAAACTTTCGTAGGTGCCTTTGTGTCTTACATTTCGCGCTAAACATGTTAACAGGATATCTTTAGCTCTTACATTGATGTCATTTTGTAGGTTAACATTCATTCTGAAATTTTCATCAAACCCTTGGAAAATTGGACGTTCTGGACGTTCAAATTCATCATCAGAATCACCATTTAAATCATCATCAGAATCAACATCAGAATCACGATCAGGATCACCATCAGGATCACCATCAGGATCAACATCAAAATCATCTTCAGAATCATCTTCAGAATCATTAGATGATTCTTCTGAAACCTCCATTTCTTCATTGACATCAACTCTTTCAGCACTACCTTCATCATTTCTATTTACATCGTCTCTTGAAGGCATATTTTCAACTCCGATGTCAGCATTTTCTATTTCTTCCTCGTGTCGCATGCCATCATTTTCATTGCGGTTTTCATTCTCAAAGGATTGATCCATACCATCATGGATCTCTCCTTCAGAACAGACGTCCATGTTTAACAGCAATGGATGATCTTTCTTTCTACCAGCTTCTGAAATACATTTTAAAGTATTAAAAAATATGGTAATTATGTCGTTACACGGCTCCTATCGTATCTAAAAATCTAGAGCTTCTAATTTTGTTTTTTTTTGTAAATTTCTCTTATATCATAAGTAACTAGAAGGGTCAGCAAGATAAATCACGTAATATACGTAATATTTCTTTTTCATGGGTTCTGTCGTATTTCTAAAAATATTACTAGAAAATTTAAAAGGTAAGGGCATCCGGGAAATGTCCCTCTCAAAAAGTGGTTTCTCGCGTTTCGTCTCACTGATAAATAAGATTTTATAGCTTGTTCGGTTTTATCAGGAAAATAAGAGAATTCGTGCTGTTAAAGAATATTCACGAAATTTGCTAATAACTTTTGAAATTCGTATTGAAAAAGAAAATTAAAAAGTTGGATTTTTGGTGAGAGTGCGAAACAATATGGTAGCGAGCCATATAAAAAGGCCTAGAAGGTGGCGCCAATTCATAGGGAGTGACCACAACTTGAACTACGAAAATGTCTTAACCGCAAATTACTCCAAGTAATTTCTTTTTTCTACTTTCTTTCGACAAATTATTGTCAAAACGGAGATGACCCCCTGCAGAATACTCTCCTTTATCATTCCAAATAAATTTTAATTCCAAATATCCTATTCAAACAACGAATAGTGTATTCTACGAAAGTCTTTTTTCCCGAAAAACCGAATGTTTTAACAATTTTGTTAACAATTATTTATAATAGTTATGCAAAATACCGAGATGTCCCCCTGCAGGGCTCCGTCATCTATTAATTCAAAAAAATCCTAAACCAAAATATGCTTTTCTTTTTTAATATAGTGTATTCTACGAAACCACTATTATATCCCGGATGACCTTAATAGACGTAATTTACGTAAAATGCAGTAAAAACAAAAAATTACATTTTTAAAAATTACAACAAAAATACATAAAAAAGAATGTTATGTATTTAATGTATTTTAAGTAATTTACGAGTTTTATTTTGCTGTCCTTGCTTGTTACTTATAAAATAAGAGAAATTAACAAAAAAAATTTTTTTTAATTGGATTTTTACATATTAGAGAAGTCGCTTAACTAAAAAATATTATTTGCGGAGAATATAATGTTATAAAAAAGATAAAAGAATACTTTTGATTAAATAATAAATTAATAATAATTCATACATTGTTACAAACCGTATTTAATGTTTACTAGAAAAAGTAAACCAATATTTGACTATATTATTTACATGCGCGTTATAAGTAGTAATAGAAAATTAGTGCTGAAGCGCGCGTAAAGTTTCTCGTGATAAATTTAGAAATTTAAAAATAATATTTAATATTATAATTCTATAAATATTATTTAAAGGTTTTTGAAATTTCGTATGTAACAAGTATTCATACGAAAAACTTTTGATTAATTTTTATAAATTTGTTAATTTATTTTCATATATTAAAAAAAAACTTTTTATGCAACAACAACTACAGGCGCATACTAAGTTTCCCCTTTTAACCCAGCGGTCAATTAAGTATTCATTGTTACCGTAGGACAAAAATTAATTCTTTATTGGGCAGCTATGTCATATGGAGATATTAAAATGCACTGTCAAAGGTAGCATAAAGTGACCAAAATACGCCTTTGTTGCATAAAGTTCAGTATGTTACATAATATAGTGTGCAGCAAAATTGTTTATGTGCCTCGCCCAATATTGAAGAACTCGGACTTACTTACCTTCTGTTGTATAATGTTCTGTTCTTGTAAAAGCGATAAATTTCTCTATAATAGTAAAAGTCTTTGCTGTGGCAACTAAACATTTCTCTAAAATAGTGAAACTTACAGCCGTTTAAAATAGTTTTTTTTTCGTGTTTAATAATAAATATCTTACAAAGAAACAAGGTAACGTTTGCATTTCTTATATTTAAGATGATAATTAAAAATTTTATAGCTTTTCCATAATTGCAACTTTTACTCAAATGGTGAGATAACTTGAATAGTCAAGAACATAATCCTTTTGTGGTAATTGTACAATGAAGCGCAATAACAAGATATCACGTCCGCGTGATATCAAATCATTTTCACAATTTTACAACTGCACTATTAGTGTCTTACAATATCTAAATTACAATCATAAGAAATTAAAATAAAAGACTTTAAAATCATGTGGTCTTTATAATATGTTTTTATTTGATGTCTTACATTTCGTCCTTTTCACTTTCATTTTCTCTCCACTCAATACAGTTTTCTTCAAAATTCGTAAACGATGTGGATTTCTTCACTCTAGTATATTGTGTGACAAGTATTGTCCTAAAAAAATTGTTATTTATCATTTTCACAATTTCAAAAATTTGAATTTTATTTTTATGAAACTTTTTAATACTAAAAAACTTTCAGATTAAAATTATTTGCGTTCATACGTACCATATTATTATTTATTTTTAGCTTGGTTGTTGTTGTAGTTGTATTCGTTTTTTTTTTTTTTTTTTTTTTTTCTCCTGGTGGAAATGCATTTAGGCACACCGTACGGTAGTGTGGGACTCTCCATTGTTGGACCTACCCACTAAAACCACCATTTTTGCTCACATTAAATGTAGTGTATGCCCAATGACATTTGTGCGAAAATTCAGCACAAGAAATTTGGACAATTGAAAGTTCTACTTTCTTGCGAGATGACTCATCGCAAGCTGTAGGACTTTGTATTATTAACTTATTCTCTTGCGCGAAACTCAACGCAAGTAAAAGGATTTTCCTATTGCGCGAAAATCAACGCAAGTAAAAGGATTTTTCTATTGCGCGAAAATCAACGCAAGTAAAAGGATTTTTCTATTGCGCGAAAATCAACGCAAGTAAAAGGATTTTTCTATTGCGCGAAAATCAACGCAAGTAAAAGGATTTTTCTATTGCGCGAAACTCAGCGCAGGTAAGAAAATTATTTTTATCGTACAGATTTCAATGTACATAACTTTTTATCCATTGTGCGAATCTCAAAGCAAGTATTACTTTTCATTGGATGGAAATACTTTACTTCCTAAAAATGAGCAGAAAAGATTTTAATCAACAGTTGAGGCTGATGAGTTGTCATCCTGAAGTGAATCATTATAATATCTCCTCTCGTTTTTTAAGGACTGTAAAATATGTGACTTTATTTTTGACAAAGTTAAAACGCTTTCTTCCACTTTTAATTTCGTCCTTTCAGTCATCTGAAGTTCCAGAATAATGTCTAGAAAGAAAAAGTATGTATAAATTGTCTATTTTAAACAAATAAATAAAATTTCGAATCAAAGTTTTAATTCTCAAAGTTCTATGCCTTATTCTCTTTTGATTTTTCAATGTGAAAAACTTTAAATTTTTGCTCAAAGAGAGAATAAAAAAATCAGAATCAGAATATCATACCACTTTGGCACTGATGGACTTATCTATATGGGCAAATTCATTGAAAAAATTTAGAAAATTTTTAATGGTCTTAGAACCTTTTTAGTGAAAAATTTGATTAGTTACAGAATTTCAAAGTATAGAATATCAAAAACATCATTTCGAGTAAATTGAAATAAACAATTGTAATGTGAATAATTTTTGTTTTTCTACGAATTTATTCAGATAAGAATTGTATTGAGTCCATCACACCTTTAAGATGAAAAATTAATAGGTTTTGAGTCCTCCCCTCCATTTTGAAAAAATAACGGACATCCGACAAAGTGGTCCCTTGTCTAAAATTGCCTTTTTTAATTAATAAACCTGATTTTTTGCAAAGTTAATGGTTATATGTACGGAAGCTTCTACGCGCCACCATGTGGCACTCACTCGTGTTGTGCGGCACGTAGAGAGGAACCGGCCTGTTCGTAAAGGCGAGAACACAATCCATGGGTACGCGAGCGACGTAAACGTATGACGTCACCCATTTAGTTAACATTGTGACGTCAGCACGTTACACGTTCACGTAGGCTATTCTGTTCTCGCCTTAAGTTCCTTGATGCGTGCCTCCCTACGTGCCTAGTAGCGTTCCTAGTTGTAGCAGAAGAGTTTTAAAAATATTTTGTTACTGAGTATTTTACTTATGAAATTGGAATAAATCTAATGAATTATGTTTTATTAATATTATTTCCAGTCTTTTATTTTGCATATATTGTCGTTGGTTTACTCGAAAATTACAAAATTTCAATTCAATACCTTGATATAAACATAACCTCAAAGTAAATAAAAGTGATTATTTTGATTAATAGGATTAATCTAATGAATTATGTTTTATTAATATTATTTCAAGTCTTTTATTTTGCATATATTGTCATTGGTTTGCTCGAAAATTAGAAAATTTGTGTTCTACCTTTAATTTAAATAAATACAATTGAGGTATTTAAAATTAAAAATTCTTTGATAACAAAATATTTTTTTTAATTTAACAGTGACAAATCGATTCAGAAGGTCCTTAATATTTTAAATCTGCTTTCATCTCAATTTTCTTATTAAAAATAGGTACATTGATTTATCGATTTTTGAAAAATTGTTCTTCAATTATAAATTCAATTCAATTTTTTATAATCTTTGATACATTCGCTTGCTTCAATTCTGCCCATAACCTAAATGAATTGCAATTTTCATTTTTTATTAAAAATTACCAAAACCTTAAAATTCCCTTAATTATAATTACAGATCGACTTTAAATACAAACAAAACATCTTAATTACAAGAAACATTGCAATTGATATTTTTGAAATAAATTAAAATTATATAATATACTTTTATTTGCTATTCAAAATAATCACTTTTGAGGTTATGTTTATGTCAAGGTATTGAATTGAAATTTTGTAATTTTCGAGTAAACCAACGACAATATATGCAAAATAAAAGACTGGAAATAATATTAATAAAACATAATTCATTAGATTTATTCCAATTTCATAAGTAAAATACTCAGTAACAAAATATTTTCAAAACTCTTCTGCTACAACTAGGAACGCTACTAGGCACGTAGGGAGGCACGCATCAAGGAACTTACGAACAGGCCGGTTCCTCTCTACGTGCCGCACAACACGAGTGAGTGCCACATGGTGGCGCGTAGAAGCTTCCGTATATATGTTATTTTATTGAGTTATTTAATGCAAAAAAATAGAAAGTAGACATACAAAAAAATGTTAAGGGACTATTGTCAATAATCTAAGAAAATATCGAAATTTTCATTTCTAAAAAATCGAAATTAAAAATTCTAAGGCGAATTTCTCTGTTTCTTCTGGGAAGTTATTTAGATGAGAGTTGTTATAATTCTAGTACACCCTCAAGATAAAAAATCAAGCGGTTTTGAATTTTTCCGCCTCCTCCATTTTGAAACAGAAACAACTTTTGCAACAGACCGACAAAATGGTTCCTTTTCATTTTTTTGTCAAATCAATAAATTAATGAAAAATGTATGATTCGACGTGTGAGAGCCTGTAAATTGAGAAAAAAGAATAAAAAAGGTTTCGACATTTTTTTCAAAATTTGTAAGTTGCGATTATTTTTGAATCTAGAACCGACAAAGTGGTCCCTCTTCATGCGGACGTCAACATTTTTTTGAAAATAAGTAGATACTTTTCTCAAAATCTACTGAATCCATTTTGAAAAACCAAAATACATTCAAATTCTTCATCTAAAGAGATTAGAGAACAATTCTAACGAATTTTAAACTTTTACCGTCTGGTATCTATTACGATGGTAAATTAACCCAGAAACATTAACATTAACATTAACATTAACATTAACATCTATTTTATTAGAAGCATGTGTATAAAAAGTTGTAGAACATTAAAAAATAATTTTTGAGGTTTGTTGTCTAGAAAGAACCTTTCAGAATAGAATACCGTTTGTACATTTAATTAATGTCAAATACCCGGAAATTATCTCCCCGAATAAAAAATTCCTCTTATCTAAATAGAGGGAATTAGGTAATAAAAAGACTACCAGTGATCTGTCTGCTTAATTTTAAAACAAATTATGTCCTTAGAAATGTGTAGTATGAATGTTAACATTGAGAATTTCAAATTTACATTATTCAAATTTGGGAAATAAATTTTTAAGAAATTTTTATGAAAATTCCCTGACTACCAAGTTTTTTTTCAAAGAATTGATCTTTTATACTTTAAAGAGGATTAAAACTTTGAAATGGGATTCGATTGATGTAAAATTCTTACTTCTAATCTTGTCTATATCATTATCTGTAACTTGAACATAATTGCCAGTGACTGTTTTCGGTTTTTGATAGTACGCTATAGCCAACTGCTCCTTTGTCCAATAGCCTCTCAATAAGCAGGTTACCCTACTTGACAGTTTGTCACACCCTATCACTTTCTGCAATACATCATTTGAAATGTTGACACCAGCACAAGAAACCTACAAATAAATGAGCAAGTCATAAATAATTATTAGTTATAATATTCAACGTATTTATTCTGTCATTAAAAAAAATTGAAAAAATCGCATTTTATGAAAACATTCGGTGCCTGCATGAAGGTTTTTCATTTTCCTAAGAGTATTACATTTAGATTTTACATTAAACTAATTTTTAAATATTCAATTGGTAATGTAATATATAATTAATATTTACATTTATTTTGATAAATACAGCATAAAATTTTGTATACATACCACACTGTCGGCCCTACCGCATGCCTCTAACGCTGCATTCGTGGGATTGTCAGAATTATTTCTAATAATTCTGATGTCCCTTTGTATTGGAGCAATTGCTTCATCAATAATTCTTCGAATCTCGACGAGGCTTGGACCTACGTATGGTAAAGGTTGGAGATTATTCACTTCAGAGGTACGTGATTTTTTTAAGGCGTCTATCTCCTCTTTTTGATCCATTACAATTCTCGTCAATCTAAGGTTATCTTTGCGCAATTGTTCCAATTCAAGATATGGATCACCATGTTCTTCAGTCTATGAATAATTTTACAATTAAGTTTATGTTTAAAGAGATTTATTAAAAGAAAAAATATTACTCAAAGTTACCTGCGTTTCGGATGATGTAACAACAGCCTTGGTTAATAAATCTCGCACAGATTTTTCCTTATCTGCAATGTCCTATAGTTTAAAGACAAAAACGGATTAATGCTGTATATTACCAACTAAATAATATAAATAACTATTACTATTTCACTAGGATAATAGACAGAGAAAAGAAAAGTGGCGGGAGAAATGAAGTAGATGATACTAATTCTAATTTATAGGTTCTAGACATTTATACTAACCCCAAAAGCAGCATCGTGACAAGCATGGTCATTCGAATCTGTGACTTGCTTGTTTCCTTGTTTTACTTTTTTCTGGAAATAAAAGATTAATACTATATCAAACAACTTTTTCCTTTAAAAAAGTAACACAAATAGCACGTAATCTTGCAACAAGATTGCTATATAGGAAACTTGCCTTATAAGTTTGCTACAATATTGTCTGGTAAGCTTGCTTAATTATTGCAGGAAGATTGACGCAAAATTATGACAAGCTAATTGAGAAAACTTTTATTTTATGATTTTAAAATATATTTCCAGACAGGACTGAAGCTTACGGTCACGAATAAATGTTTAAGTAGAAGATTAACTTACTAGAAATAATGAAGCTGCTGCAGTTTCCTCATCAGAGTCTGCATTTGCAGGCCTTTTGCTCTTTAAAATATTTTTCTCCCTACGTTTTGTGTCATCTTCCCTCGTCGTGACTGGAGTCTAATCAAATTTATCAGTTGAAATTTTAAACATATATCGATATAATAATTTTCTTCAAACTACAAACTTTACGCCCTAAAAAAAGTAATCGTACACTGAGAAAAAATTCGTTTATCCGAGTGGTAGGGATAGCTCGGTTAAAAATAGTAATTAAAAATAAATAAGATCCAAGATAACACGTAAGCTTGCGGCAAGGATTCCATGCAATCTTGCCAAGCTTGCAGCGCAACATTTCGGCAAGCTTGTCTGAGATGTTCAGTGCATGGCAAGCTTCTCAAGAAAGGTTGTTGTAATCTTTCTGTGAAAGGTTCTTGCAATCTTGCATTGAAATATTGTTATAAGCTTGTAAGAAAAGATTGCTGCAAGCTTATTACACAAGATTTCTGCAAGCTTGTTGCAAGAAATGTTGCCGCAAGTGTGTTGCAAGGTTGTTAGAAGCTTGCATCAAGCTTGAAGCAATTTTTAAAAAATGAGATTCAAATTAATAAAGAAAAATATTTCTATTTTTTTAATTAAAAGTTCTTTCTGACACCCACTTAACATTGATGAGAAATTTTTGGAAATAAATTTTATGGGTTCCAGGTAAAAGGCAAGATTGTTTTTCTTGATAGTTAATTAAGGTAAAGGTCCCAATTATGAAACGCTTTTTAAGCTAACTAAATTTCTATGATAAATTTGTTGGAAGTAGGAGTGTTAATATAAATAATTTTGGTATAGATTGAAAGGTTGGTTTTTTGTGAACAGTATTTCGGCCCTAAAATGTTTATTTATCATGAAATAAAAATAATATTAATTAAATTGTGGAACCCTGCACTAGTACCGATTATGAAACGATGGTTTCCTATATGTACGGGTGTTTCAAAATTAATGTCCCGATTATGAAACACCTATTTTATTCAATTAATAACTAAAATTGTATTGACTTATCCCAGTAATTTTAACATTGACTATAAAAAATTAAATACGAAGAATAAATTCAAGTTAAATAGATAATTATACAATCAATTTTTTTGGTAGAAAAGTAATGCGAAAATACTGAAAATATTTGAGGTTATGTTTGCTGCATATTTTTTGTCTGTTCCATCAAGCGGGACATGCAAATAATAAGTGTATAAAAATAATAACTGTTGAATACCTAATATGAAACGGTATTTTGACAAAAACCTGGCTAACCTTAATTTAAAAGCTAAAATGTAATTAAACATTTCTTTTTAAATTAAATACTATGCAGAAATAATAATTCTTATATCGTGTAAAATTTATTGAAATAACTAGAATTTTCTTAACAGCAATTTTAATTGCATTTATTTTAATTTTTGTAATACTGTTCCATAATAGGGACAAAATTATGAAAGCGTTTCATAACTGGGACTTTTACCTTGTTTAGCTTATCGGTTAGGGCTAAGTTCCAAAATTTAACAACCGTGCTGCGATAGTTAAAATACATCTGTTGAAAATAATCCTCCCATGAATTGTGTTAACCAATCTGAAATGTGCATAATGTATTTATGCATGTAATTACGTTGAATTCTGAGTTTTTGAGCGAGTTAATATTTTATTAGGAAGAGGTTTATTTGATTATATATTACTATTATATATATTTTATATATTTTTTATATATATTTATATATATTTTTATCAAGGGAATAATTTATTGATCCTACACGGAAAGAAAAAGTTCACGGAACCCTTTTGAACTAGTACATCACTTTTTAATGAGACATAAAATTTAAAATTTTTCATTCACTTTTGATTAAAAATGACGAATTTTAATGAAAAATTAAAACAAAGTTAATGAATGATTGACGAAATGTGTAAGGAAAAAGTAGTTAGGCGACAATCTAGTCCCGAAAGGTAAGCAGCAACTCCTCAGGGGCAGCAGCTCACCTTTCGGGAATAGATGCTCGCTTTTTTGAGGTGAGCTGCGAGCCCTGAGCAAGGGGCACTAATTTCGGACATGAAAAGTCAGCACCCTCTCCAAAATTCTTTCAGTGTAGTACGCGCAGTTCGCAATGCGCATCAAATATTGCTGATCAAGCTTTCATGATTCAGTCGATTTTTACATTCGGGAAAGACCAGTCTTTGATTTAAGTTATTATTTAGAATCAGTGCATAATATTTGTTCGTGAGTGTATTATTTTGTGTATAAAGTGAAGTTTTGACGAACAGTGTTTGTTGAATTTGAAGAACTTTGTGTTCCATCCAAAAGTGATGCCTTTTTCCGTGTAAACAATATTGTTATCTGGGTGGGTGGTAAAAATAAATTGAACTGTTTTTTATTACAACAGAGTTAATTGAATAGTTTTCAAGTTCATATTCTTACTGTAGTCCTTTTAAGTGACTACAATAACCGATTAAGTTAATTAACGCTTTTGGATCATTAATCACTGACTGTTTGTTACCGTAACCGAGTAATCTTAAAAAGTTTCAACCGAAATTTATAATCGTACTTATTTGATCGATTACTGCAATTAATTTACCTTGCAAGTGCTATATTAGTAACATCGCTCGGTTGTTTTTAAGTAAAACTTGGTTATATTCAACCTTTTTCTTCTCAGTGTATATGTAGTAGGGGAGAGTGGGACAAGACGGGGTACTTAAGGTTTAAAGCGCAAAAAAACGAAAATTATGTAATATATACTTCATTATTATTTTTTTAATCATCTTTGGGAATCAGGCTGAGTCCACAACAGAGAACTTGCTTTGCAAGTTGGTTAGAGAGCCTATGTTAATACATAGGCTCTTTAACCAACTTGCAAAGCTGATCTCTTTAACGTTCTCTGTTGTGGACTCAGCCTCAGTCTTTCGTAATAAAAGCGTACAAAGGCCATCTGATTCTTAAATAGCTCATAATTAATAATATAGAAAAAATTGCAAATCACCCCATCTTGCCCCACCAGGGGGCAAGATGGGGTACTAAGAGAAACAACCTATTTTTGTCGACAAATTTTACAGGTGAAGGTTGCATCTTCATCTTCATGCATAACTGCAGTGAGCCCATTGGCCGCAGACAAAAAAAGCAGCCCAGCCTTCATTTGAGTCTAAATAATAACCATTACAATACAGACAAGGTGTATTTTCCACTTTACCATCGCTAATTGATGATTTAACCTGAAAAGCTTTTTTCTTTTTGGTCACTCTTATTTTATTCAGTCTTGATTTTAGTAGTTTTCTTAACTTCTCTTATTTCTCTTTTTTTGCTTAATTTGTGAACCCCGTCTTGCCCCACCCTCTTCTACCCCATCTTGCCCCCACCTACGAAATTGAAGAAAAAGATTAATTACTACTATTTACGATTCAACAAAGAAAAAAACATATGCTTCCTTTCTCCTGTAACCCTTGACAGTTAAAAAAAATTTATACAGTCCATTAACTGTCATTATTAAATAATAAACACCTCCTAAAAAAAGTGAAAAAATAACAAGAAAATCGTCGAAAACAGTTTTTTTAGGAAAACAGATAAAAGATTTGTTCTCATGACTTTTAGGTTTTATAAACAAGATACTATCGTCTCGGTGCAGTATTATGTAAAATATAATCGCGATTGGTTAATTCGTTTGTTAAATAAGGCCGGTACCCCGTCTTGCCCCACTCTCCCCTATCAAAAATAATAGGAGAGAGTAGGTGAAGTTGTTACAATTTTGATCAAATCAGTAACAGTGATTGAGTTTAACTCCAATTTATTTGGTCATACTATTAATACAAAGGTATAATATCTACTTTCAAAAGGCCATAATTGATTGAGCTCTATATCTATTATTTAATTAACTAGAAGCATTTGAGTGACAGCGTGTACATTGTAACAACTGCACAGCGGAACAACCGCACCTAGTCTCCCCTATTCATTACCATTACTTGAGAGTATTTTCCGTTGGTATACTACTTGCTAATTATGTTTTTAAGCAAATAAAAAAGCAATTGTAAAATACACAAAATTAAATAATTTTACTAAAATAAATATAATTAATGGTTAATATTTAATTACTTAGAATAATTGATAACTTTATTTGTTTATTTAACTTCATTAAAAATCAATATTTTTAACATGAAAACTTCAAAAAATTAAATTTTTTTATTATTAACCACCAAAGATTAAAACCAATTTTACATCCAAATGGAATAATTTTTGAAGGGTATAAAAGAATTTCTCTGGTAAGTACAAGAATACTTTTTTCTTGGTGTAAATAATATAAACATTATTAATAAAACATTACATCCAATTTTGCAGTCGGCCTGGGAGCATCGTATAGGGAGGGGGTAAATCTAATTTGAGGTCTGTTACCCCTCTGCCCCCGTCCTAATTTAGGCTCCAATTCCCTGGTTGCTTCATCTGGATGAGCTGAGGGAGTCGATGAAGTATTTTTCTGTTCTTCCATCTAGTAATGCAAAATTTTAAAAACTTATATTGTGTAAATAACAATTTTACAACAAATAATTTAGTAAACTTTATTACAAAATTTTGTATACAAAATGAGAATGTAATCCGCGGTTACTCGGCGCGTTTTTGAGACGCAAAGTATGCCTTTACTTCAAGCAGCAGTTTTACAGTCCTAGGACGAGAAAGTAGTCTTTACCGTGCACTTGCTTGCGCAACAAGTGGACGGTAAAGACTACTTTCTCGTCCTAGGACTGTAAAACTGCTGCTTGAAGCAAAGCCATGCTTTACCTGAAATTAATCACTGAAGGTTGACTAATTTTTAGTGACTCTATTCTTACGATTTTAATTAATAGAATTTAATTGAGAAACAGTTTAAAATAATTAAAATAGTACTCATCTTTCACTGATTAACTAACTAAACAATAACTGAAATTTTCAATATGCATGGCAAAAGTTCCCAATAATTTTTTTAATGGTTAATCATTGAAAAAGACTAATGCTATGACTGTTTAGATCTAACAGAATGTTATTGATAATTGCAGGGCTGGCTGCAATAAGAGAACGAACGCGTGGTTGAAGGGGACAATACCAGTTAGGTATAACAGTGAGCGGCTGAATGCTTGTAACTGTATATATATATATATGGGGGATTTCACGGGAAGTGATCCGGCCTCATGCGTTTACACGTCATACTTTGATGACTTGTAGTTTGCTTTAAAAAAAAGATGAAAATTAGATAAAATATGTTTTGGAAAGAGGTTTTCGTGTACTTTTAAATAAAGATGTTAGTTTAAAAAAAAAAAAATTTTGACCTTGAAAATTAAAAATTAAAATTTAATTTTCATTTTTTTGTACAATCGGTATTTTTTTTTAATTTTTTTTTATTTAGCATGAAAGCTGAGCTCTTTTCCTATCAAAAACATATCTGCCCAAAATGGGACTAGAATTATTAATACTAGTTAATTAATTTTACAAAAAAATTAAAATTAAATTTTAATTTTTAATTTTCAAGGTCAAAATTTTTTTTTTTTAAAAACTAAAATATTTATTAAAAAGTACACGAAAACCCCTTTCCAAAACATATTTTATCTAATTTACATCTTTTTTTTTAAGCAAACTACAAGTTATCAAAGTTTGACGTGTAAACGCATGAGTCCTGTACAACATGTGATACAGGCCTCATGCGTTTACACGTCAAACTTTGATAACTTGTAGTTTGCTTTAAAAAAACGATGTAAATTAGATAAAATATGTTTTGGAAAGGGGTTTTCGTGTACTTTTTAATAATTATTTTAGTTTAAAAAAAAAAATTTTTTTGACCTTGAAAATTAAAAATTAAAATTTAATTTTAATTTTTTTATAAAATTAATTAACTAGTATTAATAATTCTAGTCCCATTTTGGGCAGATATGTTTTTGATAGGAAAAGAGCTCAGCTTTCATACTAAATAAAAAAAAAATTTTTTTAAAATACCGATTGTACAAAAAAATGAAAATTAAATTTTAATTTTTAATTTTCAAGGTCAAAATTTTTTTTTTTTTTAAACTAAAATATTTATTAAAAAGTACACGAAAACCCCTTTCCAAAACATATTTTATCTAATTTTCATCTTTTTTTTAAAGCAAACTACAAGTCATCAAAGTATGACCTGTAAACGCATGAGGCCGGATCACTTCCCGTGAAATCCCCCATATATATATATATATATATATATATATAGAGGAAAATTATAGTATTAGGAAATTATAGTATAGAGAAAAATTTTTTTGGTTCTGGTCTGACTGAAGAAGACTAGAAATAGGAGAGATAGCAATATTAGCTGCTTAGGGAGCAATGGGGACCACAAGTATAGGTTTAACAAGAGTTGGTTTTGGAAAAGTATAATAACGGGTGGACAAATTATAGTATTTTGAGCATTGAAACGCGTGTTCAGATGCGCAGAATCTCTTCTATTTCTAGTTTAAGCAAAGAAGTGGTGGCTCTGTATATTTTATACTATAAACAGTCAGTTGGCGCCATTAACAAAACGATTTTTTGGCGAATTTGTTTACCGTCCCTCTGTAATATGTATTGTTATTTTTACTTACCTTGGTAATAAGTGGATTCTTATCCAATTTTATGAGTATAACACTGCAAAAATCAGTGTTTTTTTATCAGTGTTTTTTTATGTATCAAAAAAGACATTTGGACTATTAAAAATACGTATTTTGTAAATAAGTGTCTTATTTAAGCATCTTCGATGAAAAGTATAAGCTCCAAATGTATGCAATTTATTAGAAGGGTAATAAGACTCTTTTTTACTGTGAAAGCAGAGGAGGCCAAAAATTTAATTAATTACATTTTAAACCATGGAATGTTACTTTTAAATGAAATCTACAAATTTTTTTGTCAATAAGAAACGTTTGTCCTAAATCCACTTTATGTTCTCATAAAGAAGAAGGTACAGCTTAAAATTTGACTCGGGTTTATATTTAATTAATAAATATTACATCAATGAAAATGAAGTAAAAAGCGAATTTTTTAAAAATAAATTAAAATAGTCAATAATACCAACGAGATTTTTTCGGTGTAAATAAATAAACAAATAAGTAAAATAAATAAGTAAGTAAGTAAATTAAATTAATTAATATCTTAATAATAATATAAATTATATAATATCTCAGTCGGTAGAAAGCCTGTATCGCTCCAGTTGCTAGACGGACGAATGCATTGCCAGTACAACACCGGTTGCGAGGTGGTATAAATTCTGAACCGGCGGTCGGACCAAATCCTGTACCGACGACAGTAGAAAAACTGTACCGAAAGTCGGATCCGTCTTTGCACCGCGCCAGCAGACGCCTGTGACGTCATGGGAGGAAAGCATTGAGTAGATGGGATGGTGGGAGCATGACAGTCGCAACTTCGCTGCGATTTTGCCTCCATGTGGAACCGCTGTTAAATTCGAATCGGTACAGACTGCCTGCACTCGCATTCACTCTCCAATTCAATCAGCGCGGACGCTAGACGGTTGGACGATCCGGTATTCGTCCCAGGGCTCGGATCGTCTTTAAGACTCAAAAAAGTCGCTTTAGTCACATAAATTCACAACAAAAGTCACGAAAAGTCGCATAAAATTTCCGAAAAAATCGGAAAAAGTCGCATGAAATTTTAGAAAAAACGTTATGAAGGAAACACGAAATTGTCAAAAATGTAAAAGAAATTACATTTCTCGACAACACATACTTTAATATCAAACAATCCGGAATAATATTTAATAAAATTTAATAAAGTTCATAGCAAAATTTTAATTAGGTATTTTTAACAATTTCTTAAAAAATCTGTTGAATTCAATTATCTTTACAAATAATAAAATTCTTCTCCGAAATTTAATTATTTAAACAAAATTTTAATAAAATTCTTGTCGAAATTTCAATTATCTCTATAAATAATAAAATTCTTCTCTGATATTCATTTATTTTTAAAAGTAATAAAATTATTCGCAGAAATACAATTATATTCAAAAATTTTTTTTAAATTCTCGTCAAAATTTTATAAATAATAAAATTCATCAAGGAAATTTAATTATTTTCAAAAGTTCCGATAAAATTCTTTGCAAAATTCAATTATTTTTATAAATAATAAAATTTGTCTCTGAAATTCAATTATTTGCAAAGAATTTTAGTAAAATTCTTGTCAAAATTTCAATTATCTTTATAAATAATAAAATTCATACTACCCGTGTGGAAAAGTGGTGTTGGCCCATGCCGGGGGCCCGCATGGATCGCCCACATCCATGAGGGGCCCACGTGGGTGATCCAGGCGAGGCCCCTCATGGAAACGACATGCTGATCGATGAGGGCGCCCGCATGGGCGATCCACGCGGGCACCCTCGCGTTTGCCCTCATCTTTGCCCTCGACTTACCCTCACCTTTATTTTTCAAAATTAAGTTAATAAATTAATTATTTATTAATAACAAGCAAGTTCAATTATTTATAAATAACATTGTTACTTAACGATTTTTACTTTTTTTAATTAAATCCTGACCAAAAAAAAAAATCTGACGCACGCAGGTATAGAACCTACGACCTACGGACTATCAGACAAACGCTTTACCACTGTGCTACGGGACCTACTTGAAATTTATTTCTTTATAGTAGGTGACTAGCTTACTTGCTTTTGATGATTCAATAAAACATTATTGACACTAATAAACCATAACAAAAAAACGTGTTTTTCATTGTTTAAAATCATTATAAACATTAATTTTTGTTATGTAAAAAAATATTTTTTGTTTGGACTTAGAAATTTTTGCTAGTCAATGATGTGGGTGATCCATGCGGGCCCCTCGCGTGGGCCCTCAAGGATTTGCCCCCATGTGAGTTCAATATTTTCAAAAAAATGTAAATAATTTGATGTTAAATATGTGTTTTTCATTGTTTATAATCATTATAAACATTAATTTTGAAATAATAAAAAATTATTTGAGGTTTGGACTTAGAAATTTTTGCAAGTCAATGATGTGGGCAATCCATGCGGGTCCCCTGCGTGGCCCTCATGGATTTGCCTACACTGTAAAAAGAAAGGTACTAATTTAGTACCAATTTTGGGTACTAAATTGTCATTTAGTTCTATTTTAATACCGAAAATCAGCACTAATTTAGAACTTTTTATTTACAGTGTACATGGATCAGCCCTCGTCGGCCCCCGCCGGGGACCCTCACGTCGTGTGGGCTTGATGGGGGCTTTTTCCACACGGATAGAAATTCAATTATTTTCAAAAGTAATAAAATTCTTTGGAGAAATTCAATTACTTCCAAATTTCTCGTCAAAATTATCATTATCTTCATAAATAATAAAATTCATCATGAAAATTTAATTATTTTCAAAAGTTCTGATAAAATTCTTTGCAAAATTCAATTAGGTATTTTCGGAAGTAATAAAATTCTTTGCAGAAATTCAATTATTTTCAAAAATTTTTTTTTAAATTCTCCTCAAAATTTCAATTATCCTTATAAATATTAAAATGCTTCTGCAAAATTCAACAATCTTTATAAATTATAAAATTCTTCTCTGAAATTTTTATTATTTGTAAAAATTTTAATAAAATTCTTGTCAAAATTTCAATTATTTTCATAAACAATAGTTTAAACATTTTTTTAATTATATAGTCTTATAATATAAAATAATGATTTTATCACTCGGTCATCTTTAATTATTATAAAACATGAAGACATCAATCACTCCCGAGTCTTCGACTCGGAGCAATCGATATCTTCATGTTTTATAACAATTTTTTATAATTTGTTTAATTTCAAAAAGTTTTGAATTTTAAACTTTTGAAGAATTTTAATTCCTATGGAAAAATAATTAAATATTTATTTAAAAAAGAAGTTATTGATGTTTTCGAAAAATTTGTAAATAAATGTAACAGAACATTTTTTGACTAAAACTTTTTCCTTTAATTTTCTAAAAAAAATTTAATTTCAGACGCATTGTACTAAAAAAATCTTGAAAAAGTCGATTAGTCGCATTTTTTCACAAAAAAGTCGAAAAAAGTCACATTTCCTTAGAAAAGTCGAAAAAGTCGCACAATCCGAGCCCTGCGTCCGTCTTTTCCGCCTGGGTTAATCTCTAAATTTCTAATATACATTTAATTGAAGAATTTCCGAATAATCAAAATTTCGAAAAATTGAAATTCTAACAAAATTGGATTTAGAAACTCTCAAAAAAACGGTTTCAAAAATTATAAAAAATAATTTATTTAAAGAGGAATTTCAGTTAAAAATTCTAAAAGATAATACATGAATTAAAATGTTGAAAATAATTTCGAAGTAGTTACAGTAATAATATTCTTGAAATATAAAATAATGATTTAATCACTTGATAATTTTTATTATAAAACATTAGGATATATGTCTGCACTCTCTAAATCTAAATTAGTGCGGATTCGTTTACTAATTTGAATTAGTAACATTTATTAATAATAGGTACTAATAATTAGTAAAAAAAACTACTACTAAATAAATATTTAAATACTTCTTGTTTGTTTTGAATAAGAATAAAATTTTCAAAAATCCTATTTAAAATCTTTCTGAAATTTAATAACTTCTAAAAATAACAACATTAATTCTCTTAAAATTCAATTATTTTCTACAATTTTTAATCAAACTTCTTCTCGAAAACAATTATTTTTAATAATTTTCCCAAAGTTCTTAGAAAATTTATTTAAATACAAAAATTCGGTTTTTATAATGATTCAAACTGTCCAGGTTTTTTTAAGTTATTAATTAATTTTCAAGAAATTATATAATAAAAAAATTCTTAAAATTAATTTTTCAAAAATATTTTAAAAATAATTTATGAAAGACAATAGTTTTTTAATTATATACAATTGAAAAATTTCCAAGCAATTGAAATTTGGTAAATTCTATTCCAAAAAATAATTGAATTTTTAAAGAATTTTAATTATTAATATAAATGTGATATCTCCAAAAATTTAATAAATCTAAAAAAGTAAAAATATTTCTTAATAGAATTTTTCTATAATTTACAAAAAAATAATTTTTCCAAGAATTTTGATAAAAAAATTTTAAAATTACTGTTATATGTTGTTAAAATGTTAAAAATAATTGTAAAAAATTTTATTATTATTTTTTGTAAGTAGATATTTGAATTTTTTGAAATTTATATAATTTTTAGAAGCTAAGTTTTCATTAATAACCATTTTTAAATTCACACTTGAAGATTTTTTATTAAAATTTTTAAAAAATCAATTATTTTCAAAATTTGCAATTAAAATTCTTTAAAAGTTGATTTTCAAAAAGACTTTATAAAACATTTTGAAAAAATCAATTATTTTCAATTAAATTTTACAAAATTTCAATTATTAAAACTCTTTTTTATTGTAAATTTTGAAATTTTATTTAGTATTTATAAAAATAGTTGTATTGTTTCGAAGAAATTATTAAAATGTTAGGAAATAATTTAATTTTATGAAAATATTTAATTTCTTCCGAGAAATTCAATTAAAAATGTTTTGAAAGTAATTGAATTCCTGCAAAAAATTTTACTATTTATAAAAATAATTGAATTCTTGCGAAGAATTTTACAATTTATAAAAATATGTAATTGAATTGTTTCGAAGAATTTATTAAGATTTTAGAAAATTGTGAGGAATTCAAATAAAATTGAATTCAATTTCAATTATTCACAAAATTTGCAAATGAAATTCTTTATAAAATTTGATTTTTAAAAATATTTATAAAACACTTTGAAAAAGATAAATTATTTTTAATTTTCGGAAATTTATTAGAAAAATTATTAAACAATAATTTTTGAACATTTTTCTGTAGTTATTTTTTAAACTATTGAAAAATCGAAAGAAATTGCATTTTATACTAAAAATTATTGCAATATTTGGAAGAAAAGTCGAAAAAGTCGTAATTTTTGAAAAGAAGTCAAATGAAATCGCATTTTTTGAATCTAGACGAAAAACATATAATATCCGAGGCCTGTAAATATGAAAACCACAAAAATAAACAGAATGTCACATTATTCAGGACATTTATTTAGAATGATAACACCCTTCTATAATTAAAATTGCAATGCTCTAACTATTTCTGTTCGAAAGATAATGAATTTTAACTGTTTTGACAGTTTGACCTTTCGCCCCAGTCTCCCCTATTTATAAAAATATTTGAATTATTGTAAAGAAATTTATAAAAAAAATTTTAAATAATATATTGAATTTCTGTGAAATTTTTATTTTTGAAAATAATTAAATATTTGAGTAGGATTATATCACATTTTTTTTTAATAATTAAATTCTTTTGGAAAATTTTACTAAAATAATGGTGGATATTGAAAATCATTGAATTAAGATAAAATTGAATTCTTCATATGAATTTTAAAAGAACATTTTTTTTTAAATTGATTTTTTCGAGGAATGAAAATTAAATTTTCAAGAATAATTATACTTTGCGAAAAATTATATTAAAGTTTTCCAAAAGAAATTAATTTCTCAAAAATTGTGGATCATTGAATTTCTGTGGAGATTTTATTATTTATGAATTAAAATAATTGAATCGTTTTAAACAATATGATTATTATTTTGGGGAATATTTTTTTGATTTGGGGCCTTTCAAGTATTACGCAAACATATTTTAGGTTTTTAGACCCACTCCTTTTCCAATCGTAAGATTTTTTACATAAATTAGCGCCATTTTTCTAGTGAAATTAATCAATAGCTAGACCCCCCTTCCCCTTAAATGGGTGAGGGGGGTCTGCCAGATCTTACGAACAAAAAAAAATGACGCTAATGTATGTAAAATATCTTACAAAGGGGGGGGAAGGGGGGTAAGTAACACGTAAGTAACCCGGAAACAAAGACAACCTAATTTGTTTACAGTGATCTTTGTGACACGAGTGGAGGTTGCCGTGACCATGGCGCCCTCGACCTCCACTGGGGTCACAAAAATCACCGTAAACAAATAGCTGCCTTTGTTCCTTTTTTGCTTAATATACTAAAAGTTGCTGAAATCTAAAAAAAGTTCCTAAATATTAGCATAACGCAAAAAAAGTAGTAAATAGTAGATATTAGTAGATGAGTGCGAAGCCTGCAAAATTTAAAAGTTATAAAACCGAAGAAGGTAACAAATTATCAGAAAAGAAAAAAAACGAGAAACTTTATGCGCGCATCATTCGCACAGATGAAAAAGTATACCAACCTTTCGTTGAAGCAGTTGCTTTTCAACAATTGTCTTTTGATTCCTCGACTGCAGAGTATCTTCTTAATACAAAAAATTCACTCGCAGGATTAAAAGCACAATAATTTCAGTTTTTCTCAATATTAACGGTAGTAACGCAATCCGAAGAAGCTCCCGTTGGAATAATGAAATCAGCGGTGGACTAGACGGCGAACGCAAACGGCTCCCACTCTCACGTATGATAGTATGTGTGTGGTCTAGGAAGGTGTAAGTTTGCCGTGAGAGTGGGGGCCGCTCGCGTTCATCAACTGACAACAAAACTTTTTCTGAAAACGCGTCGCGAGAACGTGATGAATGAGATAGAAAAAATACAAATATTTCTCTGTACTTTTCTATCTCATGTATGGCAGGACGTTTTTTCGTGGCACTTCTTACATTTTACACTATCTATATACATAAGAGCGTAACGAAAAAGCGTCCCGCTTATACGCATCTTAGATCGTAGTGTGGATTTCCCATTAGGGCACTTCAGCCACTTGTGTGCATTTTTTGTGGCGCGTGCCGCCCATGTTACAACAGGTCTATCCTCCCCCTCCATATCGTTAGTGTTTTCGGCATCTTCTAACGCTTCTAATACAATCTTCGCTGTTTAGTCGTTCAGTTGATCATTTGTAGTCGTTCGCAGTGCTGCGAAATTTAGTACGGATAAACAGCGCTTTAAAAGGTGAAATATTTTAACATTTTATTACTTTTTTCTTTTCTTTTGCATTTTACTACCTTTTTTAATAAACTTTTCTTGCGATATAGTTGCAATATTTTTTATTAATGAAGTTTATTGAAAATTTATTTTCGTTGATCAACATTGTGGACTTAAACTTTCACATGTAAAAATACATTGTGTCACGTTTAGTACAGACCCCCCCCCAATTAAAAAAATTAAATTAAACTAATTTCAGAAGAATTTGAATTAGTGAAATTTTTCAAAAATTTAAGTTGTTTAAAGTGTCTAATTAAATTCATTCAAAATTGAAATTTTGTAAAATATTAAATTGTAAACAAAGTTTTTAAAAGTCATAAAATTCTTCGCAAAAATTAATTATATTCAAAATTTTTTTTAAATTGTCAAAATTTCAATTATCTTTATAAATAATAAAATTCTTCAAAATGCTATTGCTTTCAAAAATTTTATTAAAATTCTTGGCAAAATTTCAATTATTTTCAAAAGTTTATTGAAAATTTATTTTCGTTGATCAACATTGTGGACTTAAACTTTCACATGTAAAAATACATTGTGTCACGTTTAGTACAGCCCCCCCCCCCCAATTAAAAAAATTAAATTAAACTAATTTCAGAAGAATTTGAGTTAGTGAAATTTTTCATAAATTTAAGTTGTTTAAAGTGTCTAATTAAATTCATTCAAAATTGAAATTTTGTAAAATATTAAATTGTAAACAAAGTTTTTAAAAGTCATAAAATTCTTCGCAAAAATTAATTATATTCAAAATTTTTTTTAAATTGTCAAAATTTCAATTATCTTTATAAATAATAAAATTCTTCAAAATGCTATTGCTTTCAAAAATTTTATTAAAATTCTTGGCAAAATTTCAATTATTTTCAAAAAGTTTCCTTATTTAAATGATATTCAATATCTACTATTTTAATAAAATTTTTCCAAAAGAATGTAATTGTTTAAAAAAGTTTTAATTATTTTCATAAAATAATAAATATTTCACAGTAATTCAATTATTTATAAATTTCTTCGCAATAATTCAAATTTTTTATTTTCATGAATAATACAATTTTTACTGAATTCAATAAAATTGAATGCTGGATGTTATAAGACTTTGACGTCAAAGTGTGTAATTTCAATGCACTTTGAAGTGCATAAAATATAAAATGCATAAGAATTACACACTTTGACGTCAAAGTGCATGAGAATAATGCACTCAAAGTGTGTTCAGAACTGGGAAAAATTTATGCACTTGAAGTGCATTCCAGTAACACACTTCTTTTTACAGTGCCCTTAATTATTTTCGTAAATAATAAAATTATTTTTAGGAATTCAGTTATTTTCATAAATAATAAAACTCATCAAGGAATTTCAATTAATTTTAATACAATTTTAATCGAATTCTTTGAAAAATGTAATTCTTTATGAGAATTTAATTTTAAGAAATATTTAATAAGTCTATTATTATTATTTTTGTTTTTAAACAATTGAATTCTAATAAAAATTGATGAAATAATAATTGAATATTAAAAGTAATATAGCGTGAATTTTTACAAATAATTGGACTTTGAAATTAATTTTTTTGAAGAAGAAAATAAAAACTTTAAATAGGTAATATAAAAAAGAATTCAATTAACATTGAATTCTTTTTTATATTACCTATTTAAAGTTTTTATTTTCTAATTAATATTGAAGAATTTATAGGAATAATTGAAATGTCGTAAAATTGAATAAAGTCCGGGGGGAGATGTTCATAGTTTTTTAAAGCACGGTAAAAATTACAAAAAAGCGATTTTTGTGTAAACTTTTATTAATAATTAATCATTCAAATCTCAACTTTAAAGTAACGAAAAATATAGTATATTTCGTAACGAGTGTGAGCAGTTGTCAATTTTTGAAGGAGCACTTTTTTTGGAACAAACTGTAGGCGAAGCTTCGCCTACAGTTTGTTCCAAAAAAAGTGCTCCTTCAAAAATTGGCAACTGCTAGCACTAGTTACGAACGATATTTTTCATAACAAGGTGCAAAAAAGTGCCCTTTTTTGCACCGCGTTATGAAAAAATATTTTCATCTCTCCCGGAATGTTTGAGAGAGATGGTCAATGCTTATAATTTTTGGCTTTTAGCTTAAACTTAATTTTTAATCGTTCACATTACTTTTCTTTTATTCTTATTATTTTAATAATTAGGTTTTTTAACAGATTCAAACTGGCAGCGCTGTTTTTGGGTGCTCTGAAATCCATCATGAGCTCGACGGATCCAAATGTGAGTATAAAAATAATACACAAATAAACATGTTTTATATAAATAATATTTTAATGTTTACAGAATATTTAAAATTAAATTTTTTTTAATTAGAATTATAATAAAAATTAGTTTGTAAACTAATAATTTAAAAAAAAATTTTTCTTTCTTTGAAAAATATCCAAACAATTGAAATTTTATAAAATTGAATATTGCAAACAAATAAATTTAAAATTCTCAAAGAACTTTTACAAAAATAGTTTTAAGTAATGGATGTAAAGAAGAATTTTAGTTTAAAAAAATTAAATTTTGGAAAAATTACAAATTATTGTAACTGTGAGTGATTTTTTAATGTTATATAGTTATTAAAAAGTTTAATTTATAGTTTGAAATGAAATTTTTTCTTATTTGACTCTGACTGTATATTTTTTAATATTAATAATTGGTCCGTAATTTTTCATTTTTAGCCTATAAAGTCCGTATTTTTAAATAATTTCACTGGTTTGAACCCTGTTTATGTATTTATTTTTGTAGTTAATCAAAATTATTGTAGGGTCAAAAAATAAATCAAAAATTTGTTTTTTATAGGTGTCACCAAAATCTACCACCAGTTCATTGCCGCCAGAAAGTCAACGAACCGATGAAGTAAGAATTTGATCATTTTAAACGCTTTTTTCTCAAAAACACTCTGCGTAATGTTTTTCTCGGAAACTTCTAGACCGATTCTAAATTTTTTTTTACAAAAATCTTCGTTATACGTGTGGCTATCGTCGGAACTAGAATTACAGGCTTCACAGTGCCTCTAAAAAGTATTTTAGGGGAAATAGGGGACTAAAAATGAGAAAATAGGAGACTTTTAGGGGACCATAAAAATTGGTTAAATAAAGATAAAATTATTATTTATTTATACAGGGTTGCCACAAAAATTTAACTTTTTTCTCTGACTTTTCCTTGATTTCCAAACAAAACTTCCACTTTTTCCCTGACTCTAAAGAATATTTTGATTCACTCTAAAAATTATTAGATACTCAAAAAGTGTTCTATTAAATTTATTTACAAATTTCTTCAAAAGTAAAAATATTCGAAAACATCAATATTTTTATTTAAAATAAATATTTATTCATTTTTTTTCATTGGAATTAAGATGTTCAAAGATTTCAAATTCAAACCTTTTCAAATTGAACAACTCATCAGAATATTATTATAAAACATAAAGATGACCGACAGACAAAATCATTATTTTATTATTATAAAAATATTGTTACTGCATTTCTTCAAAATTATTTCTATCATTTCAATTAACATTTTCTAGAATTTATAACAAAAATTCTACTTTAAATCAATAACATCAATTATTATTATTATTCAATTAAACTTTTTCAAAAAAAAATTAATTCTACAGAACTGTTAAATAAAATTAACAACTTTTGAAAATAATTGAAAACTTTTTGAACAATTTTATTAAATTTTTTAAAAATAAACGAATTCCTGTGGAATTTTTTATTTTCTTGAAAGATAATTGAATGTTCGTTTAAAATTTTATCAAAATTTTTGTTTCATAATTGAATTCTTTCAGAAAAATTTAATTAAAAATAGTGTAGAATATTGAAAATCATAGAATTAAGAAAATTTTTTGAATATAATTGAAATTTTGACAAGAATTTTATTTCATTTTTTTTAAATAATTGAATTTTATTACTGTTGAAAATAATTGAATTCTTGTGATGATTACTATTATTAAGGAAAATAATTCAAATTTTGCCTTTAATTTTATTAAAAAATTTCAAAATAAATAAATTTTATTAAATTTTTAAAATAATTGAACTTTTATACTGAATATCGTAATTTATGAAAGTAATTTAATTTTGCAATAAATTCTATAAAAATTTCTGAATATGATTGAATTTTGATGAAGAATTTCGCTATTTAAAAAGATTATTCAAATGTTGACGAGAATTTTCAAAAAATTGCGTTAAAATTTTAAAAATAGAAACTAATTTTGAATTAATTTTGAAAATAATTTAAATTTTGTCAAAAGTTTTATTAAAATTTTTGAAAATAATTGAAATTATACAATGAGATTTATTATTTATAAAAATAATTGAATTTTACAATGAATTTTATAAATATTCCTGAATATAATTGAATTCTTGAGAAGAATTTCCCTATCTATTTATAAAGAAAATTTAATTCTTGATAAGAATTTTTAAAAAAAAATTTAAATAATTTAATTTCTGCAAAGTATTTTATTACTTTTCAAAAGAATTGAATTCTTGTGATGAATTTTGATATTTATCAAAATAATTAATTGAATTTTGGAAAAGAATTTTATTAAAATCCCTTAAAATAATTGATTTTACGCGCAGAATTTATGCGATTTTGTTTTCTTTCAAGCTAATTGAATTCTTTTGCAAAATGACTTAAAAATTTTAGAAAATAATTGATTTTCCGCGAAGAATTAAATGTTATTTATGAAAATATTTGAATTATTTTCCATTTTTCAAGGAATTTATTTCAAATTGTATTAAAAATATTTGAAATTCTACGATGAAAATAATTAAATTCGTAAATGAAATTTTATTATTTATAAAAATAATTAAATCCTTTCGTATAATTATATCAAAAAGTTTTTTCTAGAATTAAATCTGTTTATAATTTTATGAATGTAGTAAATAGTGAAAATTATTGAATTGAAAAAATCTTTGGTTAAAAGTAATTGAAATTTCGCAAAGATTTTTATAAATTGAAAGTAATTAAATTTTTGGCGAAAATATTTGCTATTTGTGAAGGTAATTGAATTTTTTACGAGATATTCGTGATAATTTTTAAAAATAATAGAATTTCTTCGAAGAATTTGATTAATTTTGAAAATAATTGAATGCTTGGGATGAATATTGTAACTTATGAAAATAATTGAATTCTGTAAAGAATTTTATTAAAATTCCTAATAATTATTAAATTTCTGTGAAGAATTTTGTTATTTATCAAGATAATTGCATTAAAACTTTTGTAATAATTAAATAATATTAAAAAATTCATTCTTGGCAGAAATAGAAAATTGTTTTGAAGGTTTTGTATTAGAATTTTTTTATTACAATAAGGAGTAAAACGGTAAATATCAATTTACTTTTAACTAGTCGTTCAAACATAAATTTAAAATATTTATTCTTACAGAAATTTTTTTTTCTTAATTTAAATTTTTATAAAATTTTGTTTTCAGTTTAATTATTAAACTAAGAGTTTTTTAAACACATGAATACGAGTACGTTTAGGGGCCAAAATTAAAAAAGGGGACTTTTAGGGAAATGGGAGACAGACTGTGAAGACTGGAATTATTTTAAAATATTAATTTTTACAATTTTTTTAATCCGAAAATCAATATAATTCATAGGAATCGTAAAAAAATTCTAGAAAATAGCTTTATTTGAACTTTTTTGTCGATTCTAATGCAATATACAATATCCTCTCCTTACAAAAGAAACCGTGTAGCCGTAAACGATAATTCAATAGAGGAAGATGTAAAAAATTGTTTATAATAATTTTTTATACTTTAAAGGATTTTTTAACTGTTAAGTAGAAGCTGATTTATAAACAAAAAATTACAGGTAAAAAGAATACGTCACGGACGAGGACGGAGTGGCGGCAATAGTAAAATAGCGAGAGCGGCAGCATTTAAAGTAAGATTTAGATCAAACATTGCGAAAAACATTATAGTTCAGTCAAAGTAGTCAAAAAAGATGGCGTATCTTATTTTAGGACCGCAATTTTTTGGCTTAAACCCTTTATTTTAGTGTCAAAATAAAGTGCCTACATTTGGTACCTCGAACTCCGTCGGTAAGGAAAAAAAATTTTTCAAAATAGGTGCAAAAATCAATTACTTGAAAATAACCGCTTTCCCGTTTTTTTCGTTATTTTGGCCAAAATTCGCTATTTTTAATTTCTTTAAAACTACTTCTAAAATAATGATTTTTTTAAACGACCGACAGAGGACTTAAAGCTGACTAAATTCCTGACAGTTAACGACAAAGAAAAATAATATAGCTGTAATAGTTTTAGATATTCAATCTCTAAAAGTTGACCCTTTTTGAGGATTTTGCAAAAATTCTTGTCTTTCCCGACGGAGTTATATATACCAAATTTTGGCGCTTTATTTAGACCCCAAAATAAAGGGTTAAAAAAATCCCGGTCCTGAGATAAAATGTCTAAAAATGATAATTTGACTGGTTTATTAAGTAACAGGACGACAAAAGGCTTCGATATGAGTGAAAATGCCATTTCAGATAGTATGGACGACAGGAAGTGAGTCGAGAATGATAGAGGGTGCACACCAATGTTTATAGCTATAGGTATATTGCAGCATGCTTTAGTATAGCGAAAACCATAAACATCGCATCGGTGCATACTCTCTCTTATTCTGGATTCAGCTGGAGACTACAAGATATCAATCTTACGTAGTGTTGCTACGATACGAGACCAGGCGAGAATTCTATCAATCTCGTCTGGTCTCGTAATTATAAGGCGATTTCTCGTCTCGCCTCGAACGTCAAGAATCCTACTCTCTAAATTTGAATTAGTAGTTTTCTACTAATGAAATAGTGCGGATTCGTTTACCAATTGAATTAGTAACTGTTTTGACTAATTTTTAGTAGTTTTTTACTAATTATTAGTAGAAAATTTACTAATTTGAAATAGTAAAAAATACGTTCTACTAATTGAATTAGTGATTTTCTACTAGCAATTAGTAAAAAACTACTAAAAATTAGTAAAAAATGTTACTAATTCAAATTAGTAAACGAATCCGCACTAATTCAGATTTAGAGAGTAGGGGAGACCGGGGCGTAATGGCTAAGGGGCGTAATGAATAATTGTAATTTGTTTAAAAACCGTAAATTGTAATAATTTCGCACAATAGACAAGTTATTGTACTTGGTATACTGCAAGTTTGTCGGAAGTTTCATTAATATTTATTCATTATTGTAAGAAATATAGTAGAAAAACTATTTTTGACATACGAATGTAACTTTTCAAAATTTTCGTTTTTTCGTTCTATTTTTTTCAAAAATAGCTTTAAAAAAAAAACTGAAATGAGGTTTCGATCTTGACACGTTTGTTTTTAAGGGACAATTCGAGATTTTTGATTCACACTTCCGGTATTGTTAAAAAAAGCCAAATATTTGCCGAATACCTCCGGGGCGTAATGGCTAGTTTTTCCCGGGGCGTGTTGGCTAATGCAATATGCTATGTATAAAAAGCAACCTACTATATCGGCGAAGTGTAGGTTTGTTTTCGCGGTTACTTGTCACTTAGTTTAAGTATGTTTAGGTGTTTTTAACAAAATTTTTAAGTTTTGGTCTAAAATTTACAAATAGTAGATTTCAAGCTATGATTTTAATGAGAAATTACAAAAAAAATTGAGAGAGTGCAAATATCACAGAATATTATTGAAAAAGCGATAGGAGAAGTATTGCTGAATAAAAATAGCATTCACGGAATACCCAGGAACCTTAATTTACAATATACAATAAGATTGGAAACTGTAGATAATAATTAGCAATCATTATTCATTACGCCCCGGGAGTTATCCATTACGCCCCGGCTCGGGGCGTATTTTGGAGCTCTGCATTGCTCCAGAAAAACTGTTGTAGAACAAAAAGTAAGAGTCATATCGGGACGTTTGTAGTCTTAAAAGAAAGCTGAGATACCAGAGTAACTTTTCCGGAAGATAAACATTCAATTAGAACAAAAATGTCCGAGTAAAACAGCAAAGAGTGAAAAGTTAGCCATTACGCCCCGGTCTCCCCTATGCATTATCATCTTGTCTTGTCTCGTACGTTAAAAATGCATGGAAATCACGTTTTCTCGTCTTAGTGACTACTCTCTCGTCTCGTATCGACTAAACGATATTTAAAAAACAATGTCTCGTCTTATTTCGTATAATTATTTTCTCGTTTCGTCTCGTCTCTCGACATTATCGCGGCAACACTAGTCTTATAATTTTGTCCAACTAAATTTAAATATTCTTTCAGATCGTGAATGATGGAAACGATCCAAATAAAAAAGAAGGAACAAGGAGAGAAGATAGGAATAGGAAAGGAGATAAGAATAAGGAACAGAAAAGGGATAGTCGATCGAGGAGCAGAGGAAGCACAAAAGAAAGGGAAGGAAATGGAAATGGAAAGGGAAGAAATGGAAGGAAGAATGAAGAGGAAAGAAAGGAGACAGGTGACGGAGAGTGGCGAAGAAAAGGAAGAAAAAAAGGAAAAAAATTGAATTTTAATAGAGGTAATTCAAATAATAATAATAAATAATAAAATTAAAATTTTGTAAAATTGAATTGTAAACAAATGAATTTGAAAATTCTAAAAGATCTTTTTCAAAAATTATTAAAAAATAATGCATATATAGTAGAACTTTAGTCAAAAACATGAAAAAAAATTTAGTTTTGGAAATCTTACAAATTATTGCAGAAATCCAATTATATTTTAAAGTTAAAATATTCTTGGCAAAAATTAAATGTTGTTCAAAAATAATAAAATTCTTCTTTGACATTCAATTATTGTTATAAATAATAAAGCTCATTGCAGAATTTCAATTACTTTTAATAGAATTTTAATCGAATTTATCGAAAAATGTAATTTTTGTTAAAAATTTTATTACAATTTGTCGAAAGAATTCAATTATTTAAAAATTTGTTGATAAAATTCTTTACGGGAATTGAATTTTAAGAAACATTAAAATATTCAATAAACTATTTATTTTTGTATTTAAATAATTGAATTCTAGTAGAATTTTTAACCAAAAATTGATATAAAAGTGAATTTTAGTTAAAATTTTAGATATTAATTGAATATTGAAAGCATTACCTTGAATTTTTAGAAATAATTGAATTTTGAAATTAATTTTTTTGAAAAATTTTAATAGAATTTTTTTATATCTTTTAAATTTTTATTTTTTCTAATATATATATAAATGACGAATTGACGAATAATTGAAATTTCGCAAAGTTAAATATTGTAAACAAATGGATTTGAAAACTATCAAAGAACCTTTCGAAAAATTAATAAAAATAATCAATTTGAATAAGAATTTTAGTTAAAAATTGTGGCAAATAAAAATTGAATTGACAATTATTTTATCACTCGATCATCTGTAATTATTATAAATTATAAATAAATCGATCATTATCGATATCTGCATGTTTTGTAGTCCGTAAAGTCAGTATTTATAAATACTTTTACTGGTTCGAGCCCTGGAATTCTAAGTTAAATTCAAAAAGTTTGGATAATAATTCTCAAAAATAAATTCTAGGGGTGTTAAACATCATTTCTACAAATTATAAGATTTTTTTAATAACTTGAAAAATAAATGTGACAAATCGAATTTATAAAAATTATTTTTTTTATTTCCAAAAAAAGCTTTCAATTTTGTTAAAAAAGAAATGATGCAAATTAAAATTTAACAAAGAACAGAAATTTACACAAAAGATTAACTTAAGCGTGTGAGAGACAGAAAAATAAGAAAATACAGAATTGTTGTAGTTTATATAGTTAATAATGAAAATATTGTTTAATTACTTTTAACAAATAAAAATATACTCTGTTTCAGGAAATGGACGTCCGTACATAGGGAAAAAGGTCATAATGATTAATCCTAGAGGAACATTCAATTTATAATTTTTTTTTTTTAAACATAATTTTGTAATTTTATTTGAATAAATTGAATTAATTTCAACTCTTATGTGAATAATTTCCTTAAAGAACCAGAGAAATTCGCGTTACAATTTATATTTTCTTTTTTTAGAAATGAAAATTTCGATATTTCCTTAAATCCATTATTTTTAATAATTAATTAAATATATATTGACAAATTTAATTTATTTTACAAAATTTTAAATTATTAAAAATTTTCAAAAATTGAAGTTCTTTAAAATTTCAAAAATTAAATTAATTCAAAATTGAAATTTTATAAAATTTGAAAATTGAAATTAAATCAAGATTTAAGTTATTTAAAAAGAAATTATCGTCTGAAATTAAAAAAATTAAAGTATTTATATTATAATTTGTGATAATTTCATAGTTTATGTTTAAGATTCAGAATTTTTTTATGAATTCTAAAAATTTAACTTTTTTCAGTACTTTTAATAAAAAACTAGAGTGTCTACTGGTCCTTGAAGTTCTGAAATTCCTGGAAATGTCCTGAATTTTGAAAAAATGTCCTAAAACGTCCTTAATAACTCCTTTTTTAAAGACATATTTAATCATTAAAAGTTTTGTTATTTATGAAAATAATTGAATTCTGGAAACGAATTTTATTAAAAATATTTTTAAAGAATTGAATTCCTATGAAGAACTTTATTTCTGAAAATAATTGAATTCCAGAGAAAAATATTATTATTTATGAAAATAATTAATTTCTTTGTAAAGAATTTTATTCCAATTTTTTTAAATAATTAAATTTTTCAGAATTCATTAAAAAATTGACAATAATTGAAATCTGACAAAGAATTTTAAAAAAATTTTTTTAAATAATTGAATTCCTGTGAAAATGTTTATTTTTGAAAAAAATTGAATTCTTGGGAAGACTTTTATTAAAATTTCTTAAATAATTGAATTGTGTCAAAGAGTTTTACAAACATTTTGTGACAATTGTATTTCTAGAAAAAATGTGGTAGTTTACGAAAATAATAAATTGTATTCTATGACCGATTTTATTATAATTTTTTAAATTTATAAAGTATTTTATTAAAATTTTTGAAAATAATTGAATTCTCAAGAAAGAAAATAATTGATTTCTAGCGAAGAATTTTATTCAAATTATTTTAAATAATTGAATTTCCATAAACAATTTATTTGTAAAAATAATTTTAGGAAATTAGAAAAGTTTTATTAAAATTACAATGTAATAAACTATATCTTGTAAAGAATTTTGTCAACATTTCTTTAAATATTAGAATTTGTAAAAGAATTTTATTTAAATTTTTCAAAGTAATTGAATTTCTCCGAGCTATTTTTTTCAATTCTCTTTATATATTTCAATTCTTCCGAGAAACTTTATTAAAAAATTTGAAATAATTGAATTGATGCGAAAATTTTATTAAAATAGTAGATATAAAAAAAATTAAAATTAGGAAAATTTTTGAAAATAATTGTGATTCTGACAAGAATTTAATTAAATTTTTTAAAAATAATTGAATTTTTAAAAAGAATTTTATTATTTATAAAGATAATTGAAATCTTGACGAGAATTTTTAAAAATTTTCGAACATAATTGAATTTATGCTAACAATAATTGCTATCCATATAATAGCAATTAAGGTTAGCTAAGGTAGCTAAAAATTAGCTGAAATAGCTAACTATTTTTCTCCGTGTAGTATTAGAATTCTTGTCAATTTCATAATTCATAAGGCAAACAAAAAAGACACCAAAATTCAGAATTTTTCTATAAATTCTAAAAATTAAATTTTTTTCAGTACTTTCAATAAAAATCCCTAACTTTTCCCTGACTTCTGTTACACATATAAATGTCCTGAAAAAATAAGAAATCTGTCCTGAAATGTACTGAAAATGTCCTGGAATTTTAAGTCATATTTTCAGTAGACATCCTGAAAACCCTAAATTCCCTGTTATTAGAACATATGATTATTGTACTCATACTAGTATTAAAACTACATTCCAATTCATTTTTAATTTTAATAAAAATAGTTTTTAATTAAAAGTTAGCTATTTAGTAATTTTTAAATTTAAAAAAAATGTATTAACATATTTGTTATTAGGAGATAAAACTCAAAAATGAATTTCTACACGTTTAGAGCAAAATTAAAAAATTGTGTTAGTCCGCCTTCTTGAATTAGTAATATTTTAGTTCAAAAAATATCAACAAATTTGTTATCAGTAGGAGAAAAAACTCTTAAAGGTAATTTCTACAAGTTTAGAGCGAATTCAAAAAATTGTATTAGTCCGCCATCTTCAATTAGTAATTTTTTTTATTATTCTTAAAAAGATAAACAATTTAAAAAATATCATGTATTATTTTATTGAATAATTATTAAATAAAAGTTTTAAGTTTTAATTAATTTTTAATTTAAGTAATTTTTGTATTAAATTAAAAAATGTCTTGCCATAAATTAATAAATAAAATTTTGAAACTTACCTTTTGAATGCAATATTAAAAATTTGTCTTTATCACTTTTCAGAATGATTGAAAATTGTAATTTAGAAATCTTTCAGCCCGACATCTATTGAGAGAAAAAACGTTAATATTTGCAATATGGTAACACTTTCTTTTTTTTCATGTTATCAAGCGAGCTCTTATGGTAAATGATCATTTAACTTTCCCATTTATCTACAAAGAGAATTACTCGTTCTCTTTGTATCACATTCGGAAGCAAACTTTTCACTTTTATATTTATTTTTACAATAAGTGTCTTATTAATTGGTAATTTTTTTGCTTTTAATTTATTCTGTAGTTTACTGGCTTTTTATTTTAAATACTTTTAGGTTTCAAGTAAGTGTATTTACATAATTATTTTACAAAACACCGTGTCAATGTAAATAATCACCGACGATATTTTTAACTCTAAATTTTAACTTCAACTTTAAAAATTATTTTCACATTGAAAATCAATGTTTATTATTAAAGTGCCTATATCAATTTCTTCATTGGAATGTCCTCTTTCAATTCCTCTAATAAAATTTGTGGTTTTATTTGGTTTTTTATATATTATTTACAAAACACTGCAAAATCACCAAAATGTCGGTGCTTTCTCGGTGTTCTCAATTCGCAAGGGGCTATATTGATAATAGAACATATTTCAAGAAAGCTTCTTCTCTTCCTGGACCTAAAACTATTCCAATATTAGGCAATGCAAATTTTCTTTTTTCTCGGGTGGGAAGTGAGTATTATTTCTTTGATGTATATTATACATATTTTTTAAATTGTTGGAAATATTTTTAATCTATTTTTATTATATTATATATAAAAAATATTACATTTATTAATATTATTAAATATTATTTAAAAAAAAAAATCTTTACAATATTAGGTATTTAAAACCTTTTTCTATATTCACTGATTTCAAACAGAAATGAAATAAAAAATTTTTTTAAGTAAATTATTTAAATTTACTTTACCTAGTCAATCCTCAATATAAATTTTTGAAGTGTATTACATTATCATTCGAAGTATACGGTTATAAGAGTTTCGAGCAACGGATCAAAAATTTACAGATATAGAAAGATTCAACATTTTATTACGCAAACTTCTATATTATGTATTTGAACATCTATATATATATAGTATAATGGAATTATTTCTTGATATATTTTTGCAGATGTGGTAGCACTAATGAACAGACTGACATACTCGTATCCATCGATATATAGATTGTGGTTAGGAAACAATTTAATAGTCAATATTTCCGATCCAGAACTTCTTAAAGTAAGAACTTTTATTAGCAATACAAATTAATAGTAATTAGTAATATTGTGATTATATGTATTATTTTCTTTATAATAAATAAATTTTTTTAAAGATTTTCCTCTATGACAGTAATGCTTTAGAAAAATCAAAAATCTATAAAGTTTTTGAACCATTGTTAGGCAAAGGGATATTTACGGCAACGGGTAAGTTTGATTTTGAATATAAATATACCTATAGTTACAGCTTTCAAAAATTGGGCATTTTTATCAATTTCTATAGACAAACAACTAACATTTTAGAAATACAAAATTTAAACATTCTAGATACAACTATATATGTAAAGAGTTTGATTTTTAATATATTTTAAAATTATTTTAGTTACTTCGTGGCGTGTTAAGAGAAAAATAATAATTTCAGCATTTCAAACTAAAAGATTGCAACAGAATATCAAAATTATTAACAAAAACGTACTAAACTTTATAAATGTTTTATCAAGTAAAGAAAATTGTGAAGAATTCGATATAACAAAGATTTATAAGATTCATGGACTACGTTCTGTTTTAGGTATAATATGTGTGATGATGAAATATCGAAATTCGCTGAATTAACAACAAGGTTCGTCGTGAAATTTTTATTTAAAAATAATTTCGCATATAAATTTAATAGTAAATATATAGGTTAAAATTAGTTATATTATAAAATAATAGATAACAATGTAATCAAATAATTTTTTTTCAGATCTGTCACACTTATAAAGAAAAGAATAAATAATATTTTGTTATTACCAGATTCTATTTTTAACCTTACACAATTATCCAGAGAGACATATAAAAATGCTACGTCAGCAAAAAATATGCTAAATACGGTAATTTTAAATATAATTTTAACTATTAAATTTCTTGTGAAAAAATTCGATCGAATTTAAAAAAAATTGGTCTGATTTTGCTTAGATTGGAATTCATATTTTTAAATGGCTTACTTTCAAACGGAAAAGAACGAAAATCAGAGCAGATTTTTACAAAATTTACACCTCGACTTACACGAATTTTTGTCCGATAAAAAGCTTTAAAACTACATATAAATTAGTAACAAAATTCTACAAGAGATTGAAGCAAAAATTTGCACGAAATTCGTGTTTAGAATTTCTTATAAAATACGATAGAATTAGTTTCACCCAGAGTTGAATTAAAATTGTATTTTTGTTTTAGATCATTCAAAGGCGAAGAACAATTCTGAAAACTATGGATAAGAAAGGTACATGATCATTTTTTCCATTCTCCAAGTGTCCTTAAACTCTGCAACGAGACGTCATTGACTCATAGTTCTTTTATTCTTCCATCAATGGATATTTTTAATGCGACATTTCTTTATGTAAAAATTAATATGTCGATCCGTTTTGGAGCAAATGTTGTGAAGGTTTTTTGTTTAAATAAAAAAACACTAAACACATGAATTAAAAAGACATATATAGTCTTTATTTAGAGAGACATTTCTTTATCTTGTTAACAGATGAAAATTGTAATGAAACACTTCTGGATATATTAATAGAGCAATGTGATCATACAAACTCAATCACCGATCAAGATGTGACACAGGCAATCACTGCAATAATTTTTGGGGTAATTAAAAATTAACAAAAATTAATTTGTTTCGATGCTTTTTTTGACTTACTTAACATTTTTCCTTATCTTAAATTTAATTTTTCAGTCAATTGATACTACTACAGCTACTTTCTCATTTCTTGTACTAGTACTAGTAACATATCCTGAAATACAGGCAATAAAGAAGTTGTAAGCTAAAGTTAGAAATATTTTTCTTGAAGAAGCATTAAAAACTTAAAATATTTTCAACTGTTATTTAATACTTTTTAAAATATTAATGTTTTTCTTAAATAACCTCTATTAGACAAGGATACACGAAGAACTTTATAGGATTTGTGGACATACGGATCCTACTGATTATCCAGTTAATGCTAGCGATCTAATTAAAATGGAATATTTATCGAGAGTGATCAAAGAGACATTACGATACTTTCCGATCGCTCCACATATTAGTCGAACTGTCACAAATGATCTCAAAATTAGTTCGTTTCTTTTTTTTCTAAAAATTTAAACAAACTTTACTTTTATCATATATTGCAATCGATATATTTCTATTTAAATATTAATATCATTTTTAGAACAATACACTATACCAAAAGGGGCAAATGTATTTATCTCAATTATGCAAGTTCATAAAAATAAAGAATTTTGGCCTGAACCAAAAAAATTTGATCCTGATAGATTTCTTCCTGACGAAATCTCAAAACGACCTTCATGCTGTTACTTACCTTTCAGTATGGGTTCAAGAAGTTGTGTAGGTAAATAAAATAATTTCCAAGTAATAATAATAGTACAATTAACATATAAAAAATTAATTATAATTTCTTCTCTGTTTCAAAGGTTTCAGATTTGCCGAAATGGCATTGAAGATTGTTATTTCCTCTATTCTTCGAAAATATGTTTTGTCATGTGATAAAACCATACCGTTAGACCAGGTAAAATTGGATTATAGAGTTTTCACACATCCACGTGAACCAATTAAAATCAAACTGAGAAAGTTAAAAACAAAATGATTTTTTAAAGTAAATGAAACTTTTGTTTAATGGCTATGGATATGGTTAAATGGTGAAACGATTAAAATAGTTATTTATGTTATAATATATATGCTAAATAGTTTCTTAGGATTGTGTTGCGTGGTGATCATGAATCCAAGCATTTTATCTATCAACATGGAGAAAAAAGGATAATTAAAATCACCCAGTTGAAAAAGTTGACAGTCTTCGGTTTAAAAATTAAACCTTTTTACTCCGTAAACTATTATAAAAAAATAGTATTGCTAGATTTGTACTTGTATTCCTTGAAACTAATATTAAAATTGTTAATCGAATTGTATCTTTTATCATTGTTATGTGTGGCACGAAAATATAAAAGATTATTAGCAACTGGTCTCTCACATAAATTCTTGTTGCGATTAAAAAAATCTTGGCTTCGAAGAGTTTAATTCGACAAGCATATAAATAAGTTACAAATCATTATAAAAAGATACTTCTTTACATTCATTTACACTATTGTCGTTTTATATAATAACTTAAATTATAATGTAAAGTAGAATAAATATAAGTTACAATATAGCAGGTTAAGGGAAGTTCATAATGTATAAAAAATAAACACGGTAAAATCTCAATTTTCTATTTCTTCAGTATCAACCTCATAATTTTTGGAAGTGTTTGTGCTTTAATAAGGTATATTATTTAGTGTAAAGTCAGTCTAATGATAGTGAATTTAAATTTTATTATAATGATGAGCACTTATAATTATTGATACTGGCGTAATAGACGAAGTTAACAATAATATCTGCCGTTTAATTATCTGGACTAATTGGCCCTGGCGCATTAGGTTTTATACTATATGTCGACTTTTAAATTAGACATATCGTAAATGTTAAAAAGTTATTTAGAAGGTGAAATATTGAGAAAAAATTTTTAATTATGTTAAATGGATATTTATAGATAATCGATTTAATCAAAAATTGCAATTAATAAAGCTCTGAATATGTTGGAGAATCAACAAAGACACTTATGACATTTCATTTTTAAATTATTGTTTACTTGGCGCCAGTCAAGATATAGATGTCGCCTAAAATAGATGCCTGGTACACTCTCACCTCACTGCCTGCCTGCCTGCGCAGGCAGGCGCCATAAGAGTGAGAGAGAAAAAACATTTAATTTGAATTTTCTTACTCTCTTACTCCTATGTGTTACCATGTCAACCTGCAGGCATGCAGGCAGGCAGTAGGAGCTGTGCTAGCGCCTTTACGCTTCTTCTAATTTCCTTGCTAACAGTATTTGTAAAGCCTCGTTCCTGACAAGTTAAAATAAATAGTTCCCTACGTTAAATTAGTTCTTTCCGTTTAATTTTCCCTATCAGGTTATGGGCCCAGGCCCGTGAAAATCGTATCCTAATTATTGAATTAGATATAAATACGAAAGTAATTTCGGGAGTGTCGTTTCCACCCGTTATCAAGAGTGTTCTCGCATAACCTCACTTCGGTCGAAAATAGCGAACGGCGGAAGCACGAACTCCATACGAATCGAAATGTTGTCATAAGACACAACTATGATACATGGAGGATACAGGCTGAAGCTCTCATTAAAAATGACACATGGAGCTATGTCTCAGGAGATATACCACAACCCGAAATTCCAGAAGAAAAGGCAGAGCGACCGGCAGCCGAAGCCGCGCTCAAGGAATGGCTGAAAACCGACCGGAAGGCAAAATCAGACCTCATACTTTGCATAAGCCCTTCTGAACTAAAACAGACCAAAGGATGTGTCACATCCAACGAGATCTGGACCAAACTCGAGAGAATCTACGCATCGAAAGGACCAACTAGAAATCGAGATCAACGGAGACTTTCTCGCTATTATACTACTCTACAGCCTTCCGAGCAGCTTCGAAAATTTTTGCTGCGCAATTGAATCCCGCAAAAAGCTGCCGGATCCGGAAAGTTTAAAAATTAAAATAATAGAGGAATATAACGCGAGACAGCGAAAAGAAGATAAAGACGATTCCGCTATGTTTGTAAACCGAAATCGAAACTCATTCAACAAAGCGAAAAACGAAACGCGAAACGACGGAACTCGAAACTCCGGAACACGAACAGTCGGAAATCAAAACAAAGGAACGCGGAATTCGAAAAAACAACAAAAGTTCAACGGCAAGTGTAATTTCTGTGATCGAAAAGGACACAGAGAAAGTGAGTGCTTTTGTAAACGAAAATACGAAAATAAATCCGCGAGTGTAGCAGAAACGTCCCTATGCTTCCTTTCTGAAAAAACGACGAAAAACGCAAGTGACCTATGATGTATTGACAGTGGATGCAGCTCTCACCTGTCACACGACAAAAGTGTTTTCACCGACATCGTCAAAACAGAATCAAGTGTCAAACTCGCGAGCAGTGCCACGACGCCGAGAATCGCGAAGGGAAACGTGAAGTTCGATATAAATAATTCGGAGAATTCAGTTAACTTAAAAGATACTCTATACGCACCCGATTTAAGACTAAATTTAATCTCCGTTTTGAAAATCGTCGATAACGATTATGAAGTGAATTTCAAGAAAAACTGTTGTACGATCTTAGACGCGAAAGGAGTAGTTAAACTGACGGCAAACCGAATTGACGATTTATTTTATCTGTGTAAAAACCCGAGTGAATCAAATATAGTGAGTGCAGTGGTAAATACCAAAAGTGATACCGAAATTTGGCACGGCCGTCTCGGCCATTTAAACAAAAAGGACATGAAGGAGAGTCCAGAATAGAGTCGAAGTCGGTATGAACGCGCTGATACAACGCGCTCGTCCTATGAATTCCATATGTACGAGCGCGTTAATATCAGCGCGTTCATACCGACTTCGACTCTATTCTGGACTCTCCTTAATCGACATGCTCAAAAATGAACACGTGACCGGCTTTAATTTTGACGTGTCAACCGATTTAAGTAATTGCGAAACTTGCGCGTCGGGAAAATCCACGAGTTTTCCTTTTCCTAAAAGAAAAAGTGTATCGAAAGCGCCACTGGAATTAATCCACACCGACCTGTGCGGGCCGATGAGAAACGGGACGCATGATTATTCCCCAAATGTCATTTTTCCGAAATGTCATTTTACCGAACTGCACTTTTGCGAATAGTAATTTTTGCGAGAAGCCAATTTTGCGAAATGTCACTTTTGCGAATTGTCATTTTTGCGAAAAGCTATTTTTGCGAATTGTCATTTTTGCGAATGGCCATTTTTACGAATTGTCAATTTCCTGAAAAAGTCATTTTTGCCAATCGTCATTTTTACGATTTGTCAATTTTTCGAAAACTCATTTTTACGAAAAGACATTTTTGTGAAATGTCATTTTTGCGAAGAGTCATTTTTACGAATTGCTATTTTTGCGAATGGTCATTTTAAAGAAATGCCATTTTTGCGAATTGTCACTTTTGCGAATCGCCATTTTTACGAATAGCAATTTTTACGAATTGTCATTTTTGCGAAAAGTCATTTTTGCGAATTGTCATTTTTGCAAATCGACATTTTTACGAATTGTCAATTTTCCGAAAAGTCATTTTTGCGAATCGCCATTTTTACGAATTGTCAATTTTCCGAAAAGTCATTTTTGCGAATTGTCATTTTTGCGAAAAATACAATAGTGAATGTATAGACCTACAAGTTTTCTATTGTATTTTTCGCAAAAATGACAATTCGCAAAAATGACTTTTCGGAAATTTGACAATTCGTAAAAATGTCGATTCGCAAAAATGACTTTTCGGAAAATTGACAATTTGTAAAAATGGCGATTTGCAAAAATGACAATTCGCAAAAATAACAATTCGTAAAAATAACTTTTCGCAAAAATGACTATTCGCAAAAATGACAATTCGTAAAAATGTGAATTCGTAAAAATGGCGATTCGCAAAAGTGACAATTCGCAAAAATGACATTTCTCAAAAATGACAATTTGCAAAAATGTCAATTCGCAAAAATGGCAATTCGTGAAAATGGTGATTCGCAAAAGTGACAATTCGCAAAAATGACATTTCTCAAAAATGACAATTCGCAAAAATGTCAATTCGCAAAAATGACTTTTCGAAAAAATTACAATTCGTAAAAATGGCGATTCGCAAAAATAACTTTTCGGAAAATTGACAATTCGTAAAAATGGCGATTCGCAAAAATGACAATTCGCAAAAATAGCTTTTCGAAAAAATGACAATTCGCAAAAGTGGCATTTCGCAAAATTGGCTTTTCGCAAAAATGAGTATTCGCAAAAGTGCAGTTCGGTAAAATGACATTTCGGAAAAATGATATTTGGAGAATAATCATGCGCCCCAAAATAAAAGCCGTTCAATCGGACGACGGCCGTAAATATGTGAACAAAAGTTTGAGGGTCGTGCTAAAAAAATTCGGAATTCACCATCGCCTAACCGTGCCGCACACGCCGCAACAAGACGGCGTTGCAGAGCGGAAAAACAGGACGCTCGTCGAAGCCGCTCGCTGCATGCTGTCACAATTGGGAAAACCACTCACATTCTAGGCCGAAGCCGTGGCCGCCGCAAACCACGTCCGGAATCGCTGCATCACCAAGGGAATCGAGAAAGGAACTCCATATCAAAAATGAACTGGGAAAAAGCCCGACATCTCTCACCTGCGAACCTTCGGGGAAAACGTCTTCATCCTGGACAAAACTCCCACCAAAGGCAAGTTTGATCCAAGGGAAATAAAAGGAACCTTCGTGGACTACGCAGATCAATCCAAAGCGTATCGCATTTGGATACCAGAGCAAAGAAAAGTCGATTTATCCAGAGACGTAAAATTTCTCGAATCTTTTGAGCCGAAAAGTAATCATTCACCACTTTTGAAGGAAGAGGACCTCATAGAATCATCAAAAATAGTCAACGCTCCAATCGATGCTCCCAAAATCGTCGAAATTGAACTAGTCAGTCGAAGTTCAACAGCCAGAGTCGATGAGCAACATCCACCCGCAGTGGAAGAACGAAACAACTCGATAAGCAGCGGATCTCCATTCCTCGGTTTTCGACAAGAAGGTGATCACGAGCTGTCATCAGGCACCAGATCACCATCCCTCGGATCTCAACAAGAACGTGATTTCGAGCTGTCTTCAGGCACCAGATCATCATTCCTCGGATTCGAAAGGCAAATGAATCACGAACATTCAACCAACGATCTCTCAATTTCCCGTGGATCAGAAGATACAGTGCCAATGGAAGATCTCAGTAGCTCGAGCAACAGCGACGACAAATACTTCGACATCAATTTTGCCCTCAATGTATCGGAAGTGCCTCTAAAGGACGCAATCACTGGAAACGAACACGACGAATGGATGACGGCTATTCATCAGGAAACCAGGTGCCTGATAAGCAATGACACCTGGGAACTCGTAGACAAACCAGTTAATCAACGGATCATCGGCTGCAGAACAGTGCTCCGAAACAAGTACAACCCGGATGGTACAGTCAATAGGAGAAAGGCGAGGGTAGTTGCCCAAGGATTCTCCCAGAGACCCGGTATTGACTTCGTCGACACTTTCGCCCCGGTAGCAAGGCTCGAAACTCTCCGCTTGCTGGCAGCTCTCGCAGCAAAATCAAATCTAAAAATTTATCAATTAGATATAACAGCGGCCTACCTCAACGGAGAAATCGACACCCTTCTTTTCATGAAAGATCCAGAATTGTTAGAGGAATCTCTTGAAGAAATAGTGAAAACTGAAAAGGACGCAGTCATTCTTCGAAAAACAAGGAGAATGCTCGAAGCATTAAAAACTGGAAACAAGGTCTGCAAACTCCAAAAGTCAATTTACGGGTTGCGACAATCAGGTCGCAGATGGCACGCAAAGTTGGACGAGATATTAAAATCCATAGGTCTAAATCCAACAAATTCTGACCCGTGCCTTTACATTGACAAAATCAAAGAAACTCCGACATACCTACTTGTGTATGTTGACGACATCCTAATCATCTCGGAAAATCGAAAAAAGGTGAACGACATCAAAAAGGAACTCTCATCTCATTTGGACATCAGAGATCTAGGAGCCGCCAACTATTGTCTGGGAATTGAAATCGAACAAACACTAAACAAGGTAACATTATGTCAAACCGGATGTATTAATGAATTTTTATCCAGATTCAACATGTCTAAGTGAAAACCGGTGAAGACACCTCTCGTCTGCGGAAACAAGCTGAAAAAACCATCAGCATCGGAGAGGATGACATCGTTTCCATTCAGGGAATTGATCGGAGCTCTCTCATACGTAGCAATCGGGACTCGTCCCGACATCGCCCACGCGGTGAATCTACTCAGCCAATTCAACAACGACCATGGACGACGTCACTGGGAGGCAGCCAAACGAATATTGCGCTACCTCAAAGGCACAGCTGATATGAAGCTCGTCTACTCACGGAATGATCAACAGGTAACCGGATATGCCGATGCAGATTGGGGAAATTGTCCAATCGATCGAACATCATACACCGGCTATAGCTTCATCGTCTCCGGCGGAGCAGTGTCCTGGTGTTCCCGAAAACAGAAGACCGTAGCACTGTCGTCGACTCAGGCGGAGTATATGAGTCTCAGCGAAGCTGCAAAGGAGGCAGTTTACCTCATCACACAATTAAAGGAGTTAAATCTGAAGAACTTGTCGAGAATTATTTTATTTAACGTTAATCAATCAGCCGGAAAACTCGCCCTCAATCCCGTTTTTCACTCGAAATCGAAACACATTGAGATCCGCTACCATTTCATGAGGAACGCAATCCAGGAGTACCCCATAGAGTTGGTGTACCTTCCCACCGAGAAGATGACGGCGGACGTCCTGACCAAAGCTCTTCCAGCAGTGAAACACGAAAAATGTGCTAGTGAATTGGGACTTAAAATTTTGTAAATTAAAGGGACTTTTTCGTTTTTTTTTTAAATCAGTGTTTTAATTGAGGCGAAGTGTTGGAGAATCAACAAAGACACTTATGACATTTCATTTTTAAATTATTGTTTACTTGGCGCCAGTCAAGATATAGATGTCGCCTAAAATAGACGCCTTACGCTTCTTCTAATTTCCTTGCTAACAGTATTTGTAAAGCCTCGTTCTTGACAAGTTAAAATAAATAGTTCCCTACGTTAAATTAGTTCTTTCCGTTTAATTTTCCCTATCAGAATAATATATAATTACTTTGAAATTCCTGGCAGATTAGATAAACATAAGTCTACCCAGGTGGTTAGATTTTCAGGGGAAAAAAGTTCATGAAAAACAAATTAGAAATTTGGCAAAACTTTTTCCTTTATTGAAATTAATGAATTTATTCAAATAAATATTATTCAAAGTACTCATTATTACCCTAGGGGAATAATGACCAAATTACATAATCCATCAGCAACTCTCAAGAAGATAAGGACAAGAAGATTTATATATGTATTTTCTAATGTTTTCTATGACGCTTTTTTACCAGATCATGAATAAAGTGAACCTAAGTCCTAAGGCGAATAGTTGTCGAAAATTTCCCTGTAAAAAGTAATATTTTGTTAATGAGGTTCTTAAATTAACATCATATATGAGAAAGTAATAATGTTAAATGTTATGGGCAAAAGAATGTTTTTTCAGATTTTCAAAATGCAAAAAAATAAGTTAATCTTTCTTAATCTGGCTCAAAGTATACTCTCATTTTATGTCTGCACGTGAGACCTAAAATTTAAAAAGATTTCACCCCTAAAGCTCTTCACAGTCTCGAGAATATTTATGAAAATGTAATGTTTACACACATATACGGAATGACATTTTTTAAAACTAATTTTTAAATTCCTGAGGTCAAAAAACATAACAGATGTGCCAAAAAAATCGAGATTGGTAATTTTTGGTAATGCTTCTATGAGGAAGCAAAATTAATAATAAATGAAAATATTTTAATAGAAAAATTTAATTATTTTAAATTCTTTTAAATTTTTTTTAAAATTTTAAAATTTTTTTATTGAAATTTTGCTGTAATTTGTAATCTTACATTTCGAGAAAATTTTTAGTGTAATATTCCTGTAACATTGATGTGATGCTGATGTTTCCTCACAGGGAAATGCACAAATATTTCAAAAACTTATTTTAAATCTTAGAAATATTTAGGAAATATTATGGGCTGTGTAGATATATAAATAAGGAAGTTATTCATGTGTTCAGAATTATTTAAATAATATCAATTTTTTTATTAATTTTTTAATAAAAAAAAAATGAATGATAGATATGCACTATCGTCGCTGGCTTCGATTTATCTATAAGATGACCCAATTTTATGTGCCTTTTTTTCTCTTGTATTTTTTTTACATTTTATATATCCATTTATATTCATCGATGTGTGTAAAATTTTTTTAATTTTTTGTACATCTGGTCTTGAATTTTAACGGTCAATTTTCTCTCAAGGCACATTTTAATAAATAATTGACTCAATATTGTAAGAAAATGTCATTTTACTTTTTATTGTAACTTTGAGGAAACATTGCCTCAATAGTATGTTATGGCATGTGAGAATAAGTAATAAATTGAAAATAAAAGGTAAAAGTGTAGTATAAAGGTAATTCGGAGGACGAAGCGGAGTTAGAATGAACGAAGGTAGCAGGAGCTTGCGCAGATGAGATAACAGCACCTCACAGTTGTCCGGAGGGCAGTTAGTTGCTTCTTTGTCGTACCTTCAGCGTTTTTTAACAAAATTATTTCAATCGAGTTTAGTGACACGAGCCTCGCGAGTTCATAGCATCCCCAAGGAGGCGGAGAGAGAGATACTTCCTCTTCTGCATTGTCTGGGGTCAGTATTCGCTAAGCTCGTTTCATTTAGATGAAAAATGTTTGCAACTTAGACTATAAGAGGTCCTTGCTGACAGGATACTGCCATATCGTCGACACCGGTGGCATTGTAAAGTCTATTGCCATTTATTGATTTCTATAAAATCTTGTTCCAAGATACATTTTTCAAGTGCGCGAAATTAAAAAAAAAATTATCATTTCACTTGTTTCCACTTTCAAGTGTATTTATATGAGATTTTAATTAAATTCCGACAATGTCAAAAAAAATCTTTTTTTTTGGTGTTCCACTTCCCCATAATCAACCAGTCCATTAGTCGAAAACATGTGGGTGGCGAACTTTCGTGGCGTTTAATCGATGGCGAATATAATTGGAGTAGAAGTTTTAAAAATTGTGTAAGTATAACACTAAAATTTATGAATTATAATAATTAATTACTAATATACCGTTTATAAGAATATATTCTCTGAGAAAAAACAGAAGATGTCTTATTTTGTCTCTTGATTCTTGGGAATATAAAATAAAAATCCCCGACAGTTCATTTAGAAAAATAATTAAGTTTTAAACTTTCTTAACAATGTTCAAATATTCATAGCTGGAAAACCGCTTTCTTAATTCTTATAAATTTTAAACAGAAAACTCGTAATAATTTAGTAATAAACTTCCTAATTCTTTAAATTATTTTATCGTTTAAACAATTTAAAATTTGTTCAGCAAACTAAAAGTAAAGCTAAATTTTACATTTTCTCTAAAAATTAAATAAGTGCAAGTAAAATGTATGAATAAAATAATCAGTTAATTATCAAAAAAATTTCAAGACTTATTTTATAGGAAGGATTGTCCTCCTGACGCAAAATATCATATAAAATATAAATAATATATAAAATAATGTATGTTACCAAATAATGACAATTGTTGTAGTGAATTGTTGATCATAAAAATTAGTTTTTTGTTTAAATATAAAAAACAATAGTCATTTTCATTTATAACATAAATTTTTTTTAAAGATCGTTCATAGAACCAAAATGTCATTGCATGGCCTATCCCTAATACAATTTACCTTCTTACCGTGGTAAATATATAATTATTAATAACAGTTGCTTCCTCATAAGCTTTGTATGATTGAAAATTTTTAATTTTTTTATTGATTTCAATATTTTTCCTTTTCAGGAATACAAAACCGTGTTTATAAAAAATGTCCCTATGTGTGTGTAGTGTGTCAACATTACATTCTTCATCATATTCCTTCGAAACTAGAATAACCATAGGAAATTTTTGTATTATGTTTTACGTCTCTTTGGAAGACAACTTATAGAAATAGTTTTGTTGTATTCTTATAAATATTTTTTACATTTTAATTCTTTGATTTTTTTATAAAATTTTTTTTGCATAGCACTTTAAAAATATACTAGGATACTTATGAATATTTTTCTTCCATTATGTGGAGTTTTTTAAGACGCATCTTTTTATCTATTATCGAACATTCTCTTTTAATTTTATTTATAGAGTTATAATTATATAAAGGTTATAAAAATTAAAAATGGGACTTTTTCGACTTCTTTTTCAAATATTGCAATAAAATACCACTTTTTAAAAATTTCATTTCGATTTTTATAGTGTGAAAAATAACTTTAGTCAAATCTTTTAAAATTTATTTTTAAATAATTTTTCTAAGATAATGTAATGTAATGATAATGGATGTAATGAAAAAGTTTTCAAATAATTAAAATTTTATAAAATTTTATTAAAATAATAGCTTTTATATGAGTACTTGATTAAAGCTTTTAAAAATCAAATTTTAAATAATATTTTAATTGAAAATTTTAAGAATCATTAAATGCTCAATCTCAAAAATTTTATAACGAAAAATCAAAATGAAAATATTAGCTTTAAGTAAAGTATACAAAGATTATTTTATATTCAATAATTATTTTCAATTACATATTTTGAAAATGTAAATATCTACAGAAAACAAGTATACATTAAAAATTTTTCAAAAATCTAATCTTTTAGAATTTTTAAAATTTTTATAGATAAAACAATTTTTTTCATAAGTTTTAATTAAAATTTTCCAAAAACTTAATTATATTTTAATATTTTGCATAAAAATTTATTTTTGTCAAAATGTTTTATTCTTCAAATTATTTAAAAAATTTTTATTAAAATTTTATAAAATTTTATTAAAGTATTAGCTTTTATGAGTACTTTATGAAAGCTTTTGAAAATCAAATTTCAAAAAATTTTAAGAATCATTAAATTCTCAATCTCAAAAATTTTATGATGAAAAGTCAAAGTCAAAGTGAAAATTAGCTTTAAAAAAAGTATATTTAGATTCTTTCCCTATTCAATTATTTTCAATTACATATTTTGAAAATGTAAATACATAATTATATACAAAAATGAATTATAAATTTTATAAAAAAAAAAAATTTTATAGAGAACCATTATTTTTATAATTTATTCAATTAAAATTCTGCAAACACTTAATTATATTTTAATATTTTCTAAAAATTATTTTAAAAAATTCATTCTCGTCAAAAAGTTTCATTAATTCTTCAAATTATTATTATTCAAAAAATTTTGAATTATATATATAGTATATTCTTAATTAAAAAATATATTATCATTCAAAAATTATTTTAAACCTTTTAAAAATATTAATTTTAAGAATATTTTTGTTATAATTTTTAAAAATTTAATTATTTCTAATATTTTATGTTAGACATTTTTAATAAATAATTCATTTTAATAACTTTAAAAGAAAAGAATTTAATTCTCTAAAAACTTTCATAAAATTATTAAAAACAATTTATTGATTTAAAAATAAAGTTTAGTTTTAAATTCTTAAAATTTAATTAAATTTTGTAAGGGTTGTAATTTTAATTTTTAAACATAATAAAATTGTACAATGTTTTTGAAATTAAAATGTAAATAATTTTAATTCTTGTTACAAAAAAAAATAACATTTATTTACATATTTTTATTTTTAAAAGTTACTTAATTTTTGAATAATTCAATTCAGAAATTAGTAAATGGTCAGAAAAATCTTTATTTAACTAAAACGACTTTTTTTATACTTTAAAGTCGATTCAAGGCCTGTATTCCAAATTAAACCATTTTTTTTTAAATTAATCGTTTTCAAAAACGTAACTGTTTATAGTTTTTGAATTAAAATTTTAATGTAAGTATATTTTTGAGTTTTGATTTTTATTGTCTTATTATTTGACTTTTTAATGTGCATGAGATCATGTATTTATAAGTAAACACCAGAATAACGTACGTACTCAAAAATTTATTTAAATATATAGTAGCACTTGGCAGCGGTTTTTATATTTGAAAAAAACAAAAAGTGCTTTTCATAAAAATGACTATAAATGTAATATTAAATTATTATTCACGTTAAAAACATGAAAAAACCTATTCGTTAATATAAATTCAACAATGAATTTCTTTAAGTTAAGTTACTAAAAAAACGAAAATTATGATTATTACTAACTATAGTATCTTTACATTATTCTTCGCGCTATCATAAAGTATAAAGTTTATTTTATTTATAAATACTAGTGTTATAAACACTATTCGTTAATTTATTAAACAATATTTACTATTCTGCACATTAAAATATGTATTTAATTTTCTTAATAACAAGTGATAATATTGCAAATTAAATTACAAACTCCTTTTGTAACTATATAATATTTAAATTTGTAGTTCATAAAATGAACTTATTCTTCTTTGGTCTACGATGTTTCTTTAATTAAATTAAATTATTTTTTTTCAAGAATAGTTTCTCTTATAACCCATAAACTCATAAACACTTGTAAATACCTCCTGAAGTTTCTCATGTAACTCATAAAAAACCCATAACTTACGAAAACATATTCATTTATAACTATTCATAAAACCATTCATGTAACTCATAAATCCAAATGCTTATGAACAGAAAATTTTTCATGTAATTAATAAATTTTATACATTTCTCTTGAAATCATAAAAACGTGTTAATCATGATAAAGAATGAAATTTGCAAACATTGTTTTACCCTGATCTTTATTAAGGTGGTCAGCAAAAAAAATTTTTTTTTAATTTTATTCACTGCTCATCGAGATTTATATTCGCCTTTTTGCTAAAATATGAAAGTACATAGTTCTTGTAAAAAAAAATTCGAAAGGACGCGCAAATCACTTTTATACAAAAAGTACCCAGTAAAAAACGAGGTATTATAAAAAGAATTGAAAATTTTGATCTTTCTACAGAAAAGGAAATTTATTCAATTCTTTAGAATATCGCTTTGTCCAATTCCCTTATATATTCTCCACCGAGAACAATTTTCATATGTAAATGAATTCCAATCAATTCCGTTTTGCTTTTTTGAAAATACACAATAATTTTTATAAATTCTTTTTCAATTCCAAAGTTAAGATCGCTGAAGATAAAATTTAGTCTTATTTAATTCCAAAATAGTCGAATTCTATAAAATCTGAAAACCAATACTAATTATTATTATTTTCAAAAAATTTAATAACCATTTTGAGAATTTTCTACAAGAATATTAAGAAACCTTCTTCCCAAAGGAAAAAAAAATTTTTTTTTAAACAATATTATTATTGAGAAATAAAAATTATGCATAAAATGGGTATATTTCCTACTACTTAATCAACATTTTTTAACAATTAACAATTTTCTAGTATTTTTTGTAAATAAAAAAGAGAATAATTTGCGTAATAAAAAAAATACCTGCACATTTTCGATTTGTCAAACAATATTTTTTATAAAGAGAAAAAACAAAAGCATACACAGAAACTATAACTTCAAACTACGGACAGAATGAATAAAAGAATACGGCGAGATTATTAATATAGTTAATTTTTATGACTAAAAATAAAAAATTTAATTTATCAATTACCTACAAGACTCTTGAAAGTGAATAAATAAATTTAATTTTAATTATTAACAAAAAAGACATAAAAGTTTTGACCAAAACGACGTGCCTGATGGTAAATTATTATATATATTTAATGAACTTTAAGTTTTATGAACATCATATTTTCAAGGAAACTTTACTAACCTTCTAATGAGAATATTTTGTCCGTTGAAAGTTATACGTTGCTTAAAATTCCCTTATGCTAAACGAAGCGTTTGAATATCGTTAACGTAATTTTAAACGACGTTGGATAAAATACATAAAAATAAAAAGAAAACACAGACAAGGTGTAAAGAAGACCTTTTTCTGTAGGTAAAGGTTCAAGTATATATAATTGAAGTGTATATAATCAGTCCATGTCATGAGTCTGTTTATCTTGAGAAATAGAGCGTGTTAGATGTTGTTGCTTCAAAAAAAAATGTAAAATTTCTCTAAAAAATTAAAATTGAGAAAGAAAAATTTATTTTCAACTAAATTGTAAATTTTTAAAAGAATATTTTTTTAATATTCACTTTTTTTGTAAAAATAAACATATAAAGCGTATTTCCTTTTAATTTTAGGGAAACAATTTCCTCTCATTTTTTTTTTTTGCAACAGATGCATGAAATTGAGTGTAAGAGAGATCAGGTGCAGATAGATCGATAGTTGAAGTGAGTGTACTTGAATTTTCCTAATCTAAGAATATCCCAGTCAAGTATCGTTGGGGCGGAGTAATAACATACAGAGATAGCTTTTCCGTCATAGTGTGTGACTTTAGGCTTAACTTCACTATATTGTTTTTAATTATAAAACTAAACATTAAAATTGCTTTCCTCAGAAATTTTAAATCATGTGTAAAAGCAATTGTTTCTTCAATTTATAAACTGACTTTATTAAGCCAAATATTTTTGATTTTTTTAACAAAATAATGTTAAATATACTTAAATTTTATCAAATACTTAAATATTCAATATTATACCTATAAAAAGGTTTAGGCCAATGAAATTTTTAAAAAAATTTTTATGTCCGACATATTGGATCCGCCATTTTGAATGTTTGAAAGCTAACATCGAATTTGTAATCAGCGACCCCGAAAACTCCCGAGTGACAAAATCAATATCAATTGAATAAATTTAAAAAAAATTTCCACCATATTGGATCCGCCATTTTGAATTTTTGAAAACAAACATCAAATTCGTAATCGGCGACCCCAAAAACCCCCGGGTAACAAAATTTAGTCGAATTCAATAACATTTTACGTTTACGTTTCTTAAAAGTGCGTACAATTTATTTTATGAACCTATGGTTGAGAATTGAATTTTATTCAATATTCATACACCTTTTTGTGGGTAAATATAATTATTAAACTTGAAAAAATGAAAATTTTTAGTGTTTTTTTAAATTAAAACCGAAATTTAAAAAAATTAAAATTAATTTTGGGTTGAACAGAATTCCTTTTTTGAACCGGAATTACAAAGAGCACACTCGAAACCTATAAAAAACTTAATTTTTGAATAAATTATGATCCGTTTTATTCATAAAAGCATAGGTTGAAATTGCTCAAAGAATTTTCTTCATTTCACTTTTTATAAGAATTTTAACTTAAAAACTTGATTTTTCAATTTTTTAGGAACTTTATATCGGCTAGTAATAATTATTAAATTATAAAATTATGCTAATTTGTGATTTAAAAACATTTAGAACTAGAGTATATTTTTAGTATAAAGAGTTTAGGAAAAAATTATTAAAATATAAAAACAATTTTAATGAAAATAGTAAAATTTTGATGATTTTAAAAAACTCATCAAAATCAAAGAAAAATATCTATACGTAGGTGTAAATATATTTTTTTAATTTATAACCAAAAAACGATTTTTAAAAAATTTTGAAATTTTAAAAAATTAGTTAATCGTGATTAGAAATATGTTTGAATCTACAGACAAAAAAAAATAAAATCCATCCCTTAGAAGGACAACTATGCTGTTTAGACTAAAAGATAAATTAATATACCCCGCTTTCCAGAAAGTGTTGAAAACTATGCCACTTAAGTTCAACTATGCCAATGACATTTGAAGAAAGTCCCTTTTCGAAATTAAATTAACTTTCTTCAAATGTCAGTAGGAATTGCATAGTTTTCTGCACTACTTTTTCGAAACCACATGCTTTTCGCATATCACCATTGAAATGGCATTTCTCTCTTTAAACGGCGAATTATTTAAAAATTATATGTTAAAAGCAATTTTGTTTGCAATTTTTTAAAAATTTTATATTGTTTTAATTTTTTTTCAAACATAATATATTTTTTATTTTTTGAAAATTATTTGTGGACTTTGGTTAATATTATATACATTGAAATGATGTTGCCGAAATGTTATCCTGCAATGTTGTGGTAACCTTGACGCTGATAACGAATCTGAAGTCAGATTTGCAACATTTTCAAAATTCAAAATGTCGGATTCAAAATGGCGGCCAATTATTTCAAAATTACTCAAATTAGCATTAAACTTGTTACTCAGTGATTTTCGGTGTCTCTGATTAAGAATTTAAAGTCAGATTTTAAAAATTCAAAATCGCGAATCCAATATGGCGGATATTATAATTATAACTAAATAATATTCATAATTCAAGACAATAATAATTTAGTTAAAAGTAACAAATACCTTGAAATAAAAATTTTCTTTTGGGTAATAAAATGACTTTTTTGCATTTATTAAAATAAACCAAATATTTATATAGAATAGAATTAACAAGACCTTTTTATCGTAACAAATAAAATAGGTTAATTCTACAGATTGATTAAATCAGTAAAGTGGAATAATTTTTTTCTTTTAAGCATGAACTAGAATTAAAATATTGTGAATAATTATTACTTAATCCTTCTTAATAAGAGAAATAAGTAGATATTATAAGATGTACATTTTCTTTTCTATAAATAGTAAAATCATTACATATTATATATTTTAATGCTAGCAAAATTAACGTCCGAGTGACGTTTCACATTTCCCGTTCAATATAATGTTTAACATTAGAATTTTAATTTTCACATTACGTACTGTATTATTAAAGCTGAATATTAAATATATAATTTTATTTATGAGAATTGGTGAATATCTTTCCAAGTTGGGAAAATAAAACAATAAATTTAACGTTTCGACAGCATAACCGTCCCCTTTGGAAATGAAAAAACTGTGTGAGATAATTAAAGAGACGATCGACCGTTTAAGACTTTGACAAATAAACTGTCATTATGTTGGGTATTGAAATCGACTATTGGAATACTAATGACTAAAATAATAAATTACAATATTCTAAGAACGTTCTTGTAAATTAACAAGAATTTTAACAAAATTTTGCATTTGTTTTAAACAGTGACTTGTATTTCATTGAACTCACTCATCTTATATCTTCTTGTATTAATTGCGAAATATTCAGTAAACAACCATCATGCGGAATAGATTTGAACAATTTCTTACGAATATCGTGGTATCGGTAAATGTATAAGATATAGTTCAGTTTTTTGCAAGTAAAATATTTTTCATAAACTTTTATTGATTATTTATTCAATTTGTCATTTGGGTCAGAGCATTATATTTTGAATAAAGACGTTGCGGCCTATAATTTAAAAAAAATGATTCTTTTAGAAATGAATTTGGCATCTGGGGAACAAAATAAAAAAAAATTATGTTAAAATATTTATTATTACTTTTCTTAAATTGTGACTAAAATGGCGAACTTGGGCTTTTATATTTCTAGCCATTTTTTATAAATTTTGATTTGGACATTTTCTCATTCCCTTTCCAACAACCTAAAATATTTTTGTACTTTATAGCACGTTTTTGAGCTGAGTATGAATTTAGTTCATGCTGATATATAGGATCGCGAAAGGGATTTCAAATTTTTAGTAACTGACGATTCTCACTCAGAATTTGAATCATAAAGTATTCATACCATAATCATTCTTAACATTTTGAGTTTCTTTATTGTATTTGTCATTTTTCAGGAATACTTTACTAAAGATTACATTTAATAAAAAAGATGACACTCAAAATCTCAGTAATTGTTATCTACATTGTTCTACATTCCACTTTTATTAATAATTATTATTCTATTTATAGAAGAAAATTTAGAAATAGGCTGAGAATTATTTTTTAATATTTGAATTCCATTTGTGTTTCAGGAATGCTTATTAATAATGATTAATTGACGTCTTCGTTGGAAATGTGTCAACATAGTACTGTCTTCCTGAGTGTGTTAGGAGTTTTTATACTAGTTCTACTTCAAGGTACGAGAAATTATAAGAAATTTATTTTTTTCCACGTATAATATATGTTTTATTTCATAATTTAATTTTCATATATTTTTTATAGAGTCGAAACCTGTTAGTTGGGAAGAATGGTGGACATATGATGGTATTTCTGGTAGGTGTAAAAAAAATGAAAATAACCCTTAAAAAAATAATCCACAAATTTTAAATAAAAGCTGAATTTATTCTGGATATATACGAATCAGTCTTGAATGAATCAAGTTTTTATCATGGGGTTTAGTACAGTATTGTGCGAAATATATCTAGGCTGCCTGTAAATCCGAATTGAGTCCATTGTAATCCAGATTAATCTGGTCGGGCGTATGTGCAGAATTGGTATACAATCTAGTATAATTCAGAATTAATCTGGTTTTTGAAAGTCCTGATAAGTTCGTGTCAAAAATTAAACCAATTAAAATTGAAATTAGTGGTAAAAGTAAGGATTTTGGTATTTCTTGAATTACAAATTTATTTTGAGGCACTATATAATATTTTTATATTCTAAAACATTGCTTAACTTTGTTTTTAGAAAAATTTTAATGAAACAAGCTATCAATTGGAAGTAACATAAAAAAAACAATCTCCCAGAAGTGAATTGTCACTCAGAGCAACTTTATTAACCAATAGTCGTGCCAACCTGCGTATTGATCAATAAGTAATTGTACAATTAACATACATTGATAATGAACCTCAATTTATCACACAATTATCGCATGTATCTTAACAATATCCCAAATATTTTATAAACATATTAAAAATTCTGACGCTAGTGAATATCGAACTCGCCACTTCCCAGGTGTAAATTTAGGTCGGCCCTCGGAATATAATAATAGGCCTAATTTTTAAAACTTCTGTTCATAAAGCAATATAATAACTTGTAATATTCTGCTGTCAATTAAAAGAAAGAAACAAGGGTAAAGTATTAAGAATTCCAGGTAAAAATATAAGTGTTTTAATTATTTATTAGAAACAATAATTTATTGAAAAAATAGTAATCACTTTAATCGCATTTAAAAAGTGGATGGAAAAGTCAAGAGGCAGTTTACTAAAGATGAACAATACTCTTAAAACATGTGGACATTAAAGAATTTTTAAAGTAAAATCAGAAAATTATGTCTCTGATTTCTGATAAGGGTAATTCCAACGTGTGCCTTTATAAATCTTTTTATTATAGAAGAGTAAACAATCTTCTTGCCGATACTATGATATAAAATATTCTTAACGAGAATAAATTGTTATGATCTCTAAGAGAATATTTCAAAAATCCTTAAAAAAATGAAATAATAATGAAATGCTTAAATATTTTATTATTAATATTTAATATACATATAATATTTTTCGATATAACAGGGTGTCTACTGAAAATATGACTTAAAATTCCAGGACATTTTCAGGACATTCCAGGACAGATTTCTTATTTTTCCGGGACATTTATATGTGTAACAGGGTTGCCACAAGTCAGGGAAGTCAAGAAATTCAGGGAAAAGTCAGGGATTTTTACTAAAATTACTGGAAAAAATTAAATTTTTGGAATTTATAGGAAAATTCTGAATTTTTATGTCTTTTTTATTTGCCTTATAAACTATGAAATTGACAAGAATTCTAATACAAATCCTTCAATTTTTTCTATTTTTGACAATAATTTCTTTTTAAATAACTTCGCATACATTCAATTATATGTTCAAAATTTTTTTTAAATTTTCGTCAAAATTTCAATTATCTTTATAAATAATAAAATTCTTCTCAAAAATTCAATTATTTTCAAAAAATTTAATAAAATTCTTGGCAAAATTTCAATTATTTTCAAAAATAAAATGCATTTTCCTCATTTCAATTATTTTTGATAACTACCCAAGGAGCACGTAAGTTTATCTTGACATCACTGTAATATTACATTGGAGATTCGTTATATTACACTGTAATATTACAGTGATCTTACTGGGATATCAAAATGTCCGCCTGGAGGTAATATTACGTTGTTACATCAAGAGAATATTACCTGGTAATATTAAGGTAATATTACACTGTAATATTAACGTAATGTTAAGGTAATATTCAGATAAAATTAGAATAATTTTATAATTTAGAAAAAAACATTTCACAAAGTTGGACTCGAACCCAGAACCATGTGCATAGTAATCATGAGTCTTACCACTGAGCCAAACTTACTTGTAGTGTATTAAGATTCTCGACGGTATATAATCTTTGTAAGTTTTTTAAAGTTCTTCATATTTTATCAAAAATCTTAATACACTACAAGTAAGTTTGGCTCAGTGGTAAGACTCTTGATTACTGTGCGCAAGGTTCAGGGTTCAAGTCCAGCTTTGTGAAATGTTTTTTTCTAAATTATAAAATTATTCTAATTTTATCTGAATATTACCTTAACATTACGTTAATATTACCTTAATATTACCAGGTAATATTCTCTTGATATAACAACGTAATATTACCTCCAGGCGGACATTTTGATATCCCAGTAAGATCACTGTAATATTACAGTGTAATATAACGAATCTCCAATGTAATATTACAGTGATGTCAAGATAAGCTTACGTGCTCCTTGGGTACTATTTTAATAAAATTTTCCAAAAGAATTCTATTATTTAAACAAAATTTTAATAAAAATTTAACAGAAATTCAATTACTTATTAATTTTTTTTATAAATTTATTCGCATCAATTCAATTATTTCAAATTTTTTAATGAAGTTTCTCGAAAGAATTCAAATATATAAAAGATAATTGAAAAAAATAGTCTCAGATTTTCAATTATTTCGAAAAATTTTAATAAAATTCTTTTAATAATTCTATTATTTAAAAAAATGTTGACAAAATTCTTTACAAGATATAGTTCATTAAATTGCAATTTTAATAAAATTTCCCTAAACAATTCAATTGTTTTCAATACTTTTCTTCTTAAGAATTTTAATTATTTTCACAAATAAATTTTTTATGGGAGTTCAATTATATAAAAGAATTTAAATAAAATTCTTTGGTAGAAATCAATTATTTTCATTCTTGAGAATTCAATTATTTTTAAAAATTTTGATAAAATGCTTTATAAATTTGCAAAATTATAATAAAATCGGTCATAGAATACAATTATTTTCGTAAAATACATTTTTTCTAGAAATACACTTATTGTCACAAAATGTTTGTAAAACTCTTCGAAACAATTAAATTATTTTCATAAAAAATAAAATTCTTCTAAACAATAATTCAATTATTTCAGAAATTTTAACAAAATTCTTCCCAAGAATTCAATTTTTTTCAAAAATAAACATTTTCACAGGAATTTAATTATATAAAAAAAACATGTTTTTTAATTCTTTGTAAGATTTTCAATTATTTTCAATTTTTTAATGAAATTTCTAGATAGAATTTAATTATTTTTAAAGATTCTGAAAAATTCAATTATTTAAAAAAATTTGAATAAAATTCTTCACAAGAAATTAATTATATTTTCATAAATAATAATATTTTTCTCTGGAATTTAATTATTTTCACAAATAAAATTCTTCACATGAATTCAATTCTTTAAAAAGATTTTTAATAAAATTCGCCTGCAAGAATTCAATTATTTTCATAAATAACAAAACTTATCGCAGAATTTCAATTATTTTTATAAAATTTTAAATAAAATGATAGAAAATTGCATGTATTCTTACAATTTTCTTTAAATTCGCCGAAAGAATTCAATTATTATTATTAAAAATTTTGATAAAATTCTTCATAAAAATTCAATTTTAAAAAATATGCAATTACTGAATAAATTATTTATTTTTGTATTTAAATAATTGAAGTCTCGGGAAATTTTCTAATTAAAACTGATAAAAAAAAAATAAAAAAAAATAAGATAAAAAAACTTAAAATTTTAAATTATTGAATATTAAAAACATTATAGCGTGAATTTTTAGAAATAATTGAATTTTGAAAAGGGTTAAAATTAAAATCTTTGAAAAATTGAATTTATAGTTAAAATATTCTTATGAAATAAAATAATGATTTTATTACTCTGTCATCTTAAATTTATTATGAAACATGAGGAAATCGATCACTCCGAGTCGGAGACTCGGAGTGATCGATTTCTTCATGTTTTATTATAATCAGAGAATTATAATATATTCTCATAAGTTATTGAATTTGAGAATCTTAATTCCTATAGAAGTGCTTATTTAAGTACTTTTCAGTTCTGAGCCATAAAGTTGAAGGTTTAAGCTTTTATTTAAGCTTTTGTAGAGATTTTTGCGTTTCTTTGTTACGCTGCCTCAAAAAGTGCTAAAAATAATGTTTTTTGAGACTTTAAACTCGTTTTTTAAGGGAATGACCGAATGAAAAAAAGTTTTTCTGGTATATTCTTATTCAGTGACACCTAAACTTTCAATAAACACAGTAAATTTTAAATAAACACGACATGACCATTTTTTTGTAATCCAATATAGGACCTCGCTCAGCGAGGTTAGAAATATTGAGTAGCGAAGCTCATGAACACTCCAACGCACAATAGGTTCGCGAAAGTCGTTTGCGAACGAGACACATGAGATAGACAAGGACACAAATATATCTCTGTCCTTTTCTAACTCATGCTTTGCGTTCGCGAACGACTTTCGCGAACCTATTGTGCTTAGGCCTTATGTGGTTGTTGTCCATGTGTAGGGAAATGTTAAATTTTAATCTTCAGCGAAAATTATATTACTTGCAATGTTCAGGCAATATTCAGACAATATTGGTTTATACGTTTATATTGGCAGACGAATTTTTAATAATTAGTCGAATATTCTATGCAATATTGTCTGAACAATGCATTCGGAACAAACCGATTAGGTTCGGGATATAAATGATTTACACAAACTGAAAATTTTTAATAAATAAGACTCATATAGAAATCCGAAGCAAAAAACAAAAATTTCTATTTCTTATCAATTTGATTAATAAAAACGTTGATGTAACAGGTCCTGCTTTCTGGGGTCTTATAAATCCCGAATGGTCACTCTGCAATAAAGGAAGGAGACAATCTCCTGTAAATTTGGAACCGTCTAGACTATTATTCGACCCCAATCTTCAGCCACTTCATTTGGATAAACATCGCGTAAAGGGCATTCTTACCAACACCGGACACAGCGTAGTTTTTACCGTGGATAATGAAACAAGACATCCTGTAAATATTTCTGGCGGCTCTCTCAGTTACCGATATCAATTTCATGAAATTCACCTTCACTATGGATTATACGATGAAAGCGGGAGTGAGCATACAGTCGATGGATATGCATTTCCAGCCGAAGTGAGTCAATATTTCTTTATTATTTATATTTCATCCAAGCAATTTTATGTACAGTGAATAATTGGTTAACTTGATTAATTAAAAATTATATTTCACGTTTTCTATTTGAACATTTTCATAATATATGACGTTATTTTAAATTGAAGTAAAATTTGATTGAAGTAAAATTTAAAAAATTTTCAACTATGTTCGAAATTTTAATTTCAGATGCAGATTTTTGGATTTAACTCTCAATTGTATAATAATTTTTCGGAAGCCTTACATCGAGCACAAGGCATAGTAGCAGTATCCCTCCTGCTACAAGTACGTGACTTATCTTTCAGCAATATACATATCGCATGTTCCTCTGATTATTATTCAGCGACGAGATCAGTTTAAGTGATACGTCACGATACTTTGAATTTTTTTAGGTAGGCGATCTCTCGAATCCAGGCTTAAGAATTTTTACTGAGCAATTAGACAAAATTGTTTACGGAGGTATGATTATTTATTATGTATATGAAATTATTGAAAATCATTCAAAATATAATTTATTTATCGCAATTATTTTACAGGTGACTCTATGGATATTTTGAATTTTGCTGTACGAGAACTTTTGCCGGATACGAATCATTACATGACATATGACGGTTCAATTACTCTGCCAGCTTGTCATGAAACTACAACATGGATTATTCTAAATAAACCAATCTACATTACTAAACAACAGGTAAATTTTAAATTACCAGGGATGCGGATTATTATTTTCTAGAAAATATTGTACATTAAAGCAATCGACATATATCGAATTTACAACTATTTTTTGTTTTAATTATCAATTTTTTACGTCCGAGCAGTTATTTGTAAGGTAAATAAAAACGAATTCATTCGGATCAAATGTTATTTTATATATTTCTCCAACGTTTCGAAATCTCAACGATTTCCTCTTCAGGGAGTCTATCAAACAATAATATAAAAATTTTAAAATGTGATAAACAAATTTACAAATTAATACAATATTATGAATTATAATAAATACAAAATAATAAGAGTTTGAAATTTCTTACCGAAATAAATCAGTGATATTGTTTACATCATCTTTTTCAAATCGACATAAAAATATAAAAATCGTTATAAAAATAAAATTTGTCAATTATTACGTAAAACCCATAAACGTTGGAAAACAATAGGAATTGGAGTCAATAATAACTAAAATGGAAAAATAATAGAGTGAAAATCAAAATTAAAGTAAATAATAAATTGGAACTACTAATAACTTGAAATTAATATATAAAAGAAAATTTTTAATTCATTAAATTAATTAAATAATAAAATTACATAATAAAAAATTATAAAAAATTTAAAAAATTAAAAATTATAAAAATTAAATAATAAAAAATTAAAAAATTACGAACCAACAACAAAGAAAAAATCCATTCACAATAATCACAAAAAATAAAATCCATGAATAGACAAAACATTATTATCACACAAGACATTAAAAAATAATAAATAAATAATAATATAAACACACAAGCAAATAAATTAAATTAAACGTGGACAAACGAGTAAAATTAAATAAAATTTAACTTGTGTCAGCTATCAAATCTAATCTTTTCTATTTTTTGTTTTGTTTTCCCAGCTTCTCGCTTTGAGAAAATTAATGCAAGGTGATAAGAAAAATCCAAAAGCGCCTCTTGGAAATAATTATAGACCACCGCAACCTCTTCATCATCGACCTGTTCGAACGAATATAAATTTTAATGTGCAGGTAAAGAACATATGTTTACATAATTTATTTTAAGTAACTCAAAAGATGAAGTAAATGTTGCAGAAATTTTTCCTATAAAATTCAAACAAATGAACGCTTAAATCTAAAGCCAGATTTTTAAAATAACGGATATTAGAATTGGTTATATTAATTTATTTTACTTTGTTTTAGGGACCTAAAAATTGTCCAACTATGCACAGAGATGCGTACTACAAAGGTAGGTTTTTTTAATAGAAAAGGTTAACCCCAATAGCATGGAATATAACATTAAAATTTCTTAAATATTTAATTGATACTTTAATATAAAAATATTAAGCACTTTTTAGAGTTTAATAATTTAATTAAAAATTAATTAAGTTAATAATAATTATAATCCAAGCATCACGATGTCTTTAGGAGCTTATGTCCATTTAAAAAACGTTCCACAGACACCTTATGTTCAAAAGAAATCTTTGAATCATAAGATGTCTTCAGAATATCAAAAAAAAACCTTGGTTATCCCTTGCCAACTGGGTCTTTAATTAAAAGAATAAGTAGAGAGGCGATTGAGTTTTACAGCACTACCTGAAAAGCTCACATATACCTAGATCACTTTTAATTTTTTAGAAGCACTTTTGATAATTTATAAATCTTAATAGTCGTATTAAATACTAATAAATGATTAAAAGTTCTATACTTAATAAATTCCTGAAAAACTTCTGAAAACCATTTGAATTCTGAACCATTTATTTCTTGCGCTTAGAGTTGTGTAACCCCTTAAGAGTGAAACAAAATACTTTATTACAAAGTAAAAAAGTGTAACAAGAGTTATATATGAGCCATACTATTTCAAACTGTTCGAGCTATAAAAGATGAAAGGAATATGAGCGATTTACAAATAAAACTTATTTTATATAGAAAGTAAAATTATTTACTATCTATTGTATACTATTTCATCAAAAAATTTAATAATCATCAGATTGGTTTTTATATTTTTAATATTTTTCTTAAGTTAACGAAAAAATATTTCTTTAAAATTTGAAACTCTTGATAACTAGTTAGATATTCTTGAAACTTCTGTATAAAAAAAACATGAGTTTTTCAATTTCTAGATTCTCGCCAAAATGAATCAATAGTTCAATTTTTAAATCCTCCTGCTGATTTTCTTACTCGCTATTATTAATAAGTCAATACAATTATCACACAGACAGTTGATTCTTCTGAAAGTTGATACACTTGATGAACTTATGTACACTTAAATTACAATAATTCTTTCAAATCCAATTCAAATCCAATTATTCTAAAGTAGATTTTCTAAAATAAATGAAGACATCCAAAATGACACTTTCAGAAAAATCTCCCAGGTACTACGTACATACTTTACTAATATTAACAGGTGTATTTTTATGTTCTTTCAGCAAACAGTTGGAAATAATCCTGACAGAGAAGAAATGATGACTTTTTCACTGCATTACGCTTTAACTTCCAAAAAAGAAGAAAATAAATATTTGACATAAGAAGGACGTAACATATCAAAACGTGCGCTCAACTTGCGCGTTACCGTGTGTGGTCAGAAAATTGCTTCGTAGTAACTAATTACTCGTGCATTGCCAAGTATTTCTCCAGTAAAGATATCCCCTAGTTACTTAGAGAAAGTGACGTAAGAGTATATGAAATATTATATATTATATTGTATATTATATAATATAGTGTATATGTATATAATATTACATAATCATATTATATAATATTATGTACATTGTATATTATTATATATATAAAACCGATAAATATTAAAAGCTATGACTATCGATGCTTGCGTGAAAAATCGAAGTGTGTATAAAATACGCAAGAAATTGAAACGCATTGGCGACCTAAGAGTTTATACTATATTCTTTTAATAAAACTTTATAAATGTACATGTTCATTTTTTGCAATAACACCTATTATTTACGTATGAGGCAAAATTTTTAAAGTGATTTAACTTTAAAAATGATGTCTTTCGAATTGGGTTAAAATTTGCAATTACTGAATTGCTCTCTGCATTATGCAGGGTTGAGACTGTCATTGAGTTAATTCAATGGATGTAATATTAAAATAGTTTTAAAAATTAATTGACAATGAAAATATTGCATAGGTATATTCCAATTACCGAATGTTGAAAAAGCTGCTTGACCTAATTACGGTGCCCCAATTGCAGACTTGTCAAAATTAGAATACGATTACCTATCTAGCCAACCTGAAAATTTGTTTTAAGATCAAATTCTATACTTACTGTAAAGTAAATAACATCATTATTTGTTTTTGTAAATATTTACTATTAAATCAATTTTAATAAATTTAATTATTGATTTGTAAATTATTTTTATTAAAATATAAAAATTGAAAATAGAACGTTTATTTATTTTTATATCTACATAAAAACAGTTTTTATATACTGAAATGACGAATTCATAGTTAAATAAATGAAAATTGAAACAAAAGAAAATTCGATATAATAAAAAAGTTGGTGAAATAAAAGTTCTGAACAATACAAATTTATTTAATTATAAAAAAATATTAAAATTTGTAAAAACAGATTTTAATAAATTAAAATTTTTCTTATATAAAAATTATATATAAGAAACAAGTTTAAGAATAATTGTTGAAAAATGTATAATTGTAAAAGCCGTTTCTGATTTGTTTTTTATATTAAGAAGAGAGAGCACCAAAAAACATATTAACTCCGTTTTTAAAAAAAATATTTTTCATCTTATCAACATTTCCAATTTTAAATAATCCCTGTAGAAATTTTTCTATAAAATGCATATGATTGGAACTATTAAATGAGACGCGCGAATTTTTTAAAATGAAGAAATCTTTGCAAAGAATAGAAGAACGAATTACGTTTAGTTAACATAAGAAATCGTAAATTCAACATAATATAAATAATTTCCATTAAAAATTAAACTTAATTTTTAAATTACTCAGTTTATAAATATTCAAAAGGAAACAAATAGTAAACTAAAATTTTCTAATATTAAAAATAGTGTTTTTAAAAGTGAAAAATTAAATATGTAGAATATTTGTTTATTATTTTTAATATACACTATTTATTAACATATCATAAAATAACACATAACATTAAAAAAGTAACAGAATAAATAATAATAAAAAAGTCAAAATAATTTATGGAATTTGAATGGAATCCGATGAATTTTTGAAAAATATCCCAGCATATTGGATCCTCCATTTAAAATATTAAAAATGAAACTTCAGATTTGTAATCGGCGACCCTTAAAACACCTGAGCAAGGAATATTAATCGAATTCGATAATTTTTTTTAAAAATTCGGCCATCATAATGGATCCGCCATTTTGAATTTCGGAAAACTAAATTCAGATTCGTAATCAGTGATTACAAATTTATCGGATTCCATTTAAATTCCATTAATTATTTTATGACTTTTTTATAATTATTATTTATTCTGTTACTTTTTTAATGTTATGTGTTATTTTATGATATGTTAATAAATAGTGTATATTAAAAATAATTAACAATATTCTACATATGGGGCATTATCAGTGTAATTTTCACTCAAAAAATTTTTTTGATTGAAACATCTTTTTTCGAATTCTATATGAAAAATAAGTAAATTCGTGTTTTTTAATTTTTTTATTCGATAAAAATTATAAAAGTTATGGTTTTTTTAGATTTAACGTTTTCAGATGCAGTAATCAGCAACTCAAAAAACCTTTGAGTAACCATAGTTGTAAGCGAATTCAACCAATTTAAAAAAATTCGTCTACCTTTTATTGGATCCGCCATTTTAAATTTTAACCCCTTGGCTGGTCGACGAAACTCCCACTGTTTCGGCCAAAAATGTGTTAAAAAAATGTTTAATGGATTTTTGTGAAGCTTGGTATTATAAGGTTTTAAGGGTCGATGATTACTAATCTGATATTAGTTTTTTAAAATTCAGAATGGCGGATCCAATATGGCGGAAATCTTTTCAAAATTGATCAAATTCGCATGAATCTGGATACTTGGGGATTCTCAGGGTCGTTGATTATGAATCAGACATTAATTTTTCAAAATTCAAAATGGTGGATGCAATATGACGGACTACAAAACAAAAATCGATTGGATTGGCTTGAAAGTTACTTAGGGGTTTTATTATTGCGTAGCTGCATGCCGTAACGACGCGTCTAGTGTTCGGACAAACTCTTTAATGCTAGTCAAGATAGTAAAATATTTATGAGCTCTTCTAAGAACCAAAATTCGAAGCATGTTACGATTTTTACTCTTGTTTGAAACACAGAAAAAGCTTCATTTACCTGTTTGTTTAAAAATCAAGTTTTAGATAAAAAAAAATAAATTCAAATTTTGTTACATTTTAAATTAAATTTTAAAAAAATATAAATAAAAGCAAAATTCCTACTTTAATTTAATAATTCGGAAAAAATTTAATTTTCCAAAAATTTTTTTTTCAAAATGCATTTTTGTTAGAATTAAAAATAATTTAATTGATAATTCAATCATATATAATTATATGGCTATAGCCATAAGTTTTCTTGTATGCAAGATATTAAGTTTCGGTTAGTACTAAAACGAAGCTTAGACTCTTTCCATAACTTTAATCTCATTATGAGTATAGGCTAGGATAAATATTTCAGAACGTTTTCTATGATTTTAGGAATTTGATATTTTCAACATGTAAAATTATTGTTAATTCAAATGGCCATAACTTTTCTTGTATGCAAGATATCAAGTTCCGATTGGTACCAAAATGAAGCTTGACTCTTTTCCTAACTTTTATATCATTACGAGTATATTATGATAGGATAAAAATTTGAGAATGTTTTTTATGATTTTAGAAATTTGATATTTTCAACATGTAAACTTGTTTTGAATTGAAATGGCCATAACTTTCTAAGTATGCAAGATGAATCAAGTTCCCGTTAGTAACAAAATGAAGCTTGACTCTTTTCCTAATAACTTTTATCTCATTACGAGTTTATAGGCTAGGATAAATATTTGAGAACGTTTTTTATGATTTTAGGTATTTGATATTCTTAACATGTTAAAATAAGTTATTCTCTACTTACCGCATAATTAGGTCTCTTATGAAATCTGAACAATTTTCTTATGCGTTATAAATGTGAAAAAAATATATTAATATTATATCCACAAACAAATGAGACATTTTAGACAATATTTTTTGGTTATTACCATAATATGGTAACATCGACAAATGGGACACCCTCGGCAATTGGTACACTTACCCTATAATAGTTTTTATACAATTCTATAAAATTGTTGTAATTTGATATTAAATTTGTTCAACAAATTACTTCCAAACTAAAATATTTCTCATTTAAAAAAATTTACTAAATCAATTACAAATTCTAGTCGGTTATAGAGACTTTTCATGTAACACTAAAACATATGACGTTTTTTAACAAAATATAATCAATTATAAATTTGTTTCTTATTCACGATATTAATATTTACCAAAATAGTGAAACTACATTTTATTGGGACGCATTATTATTCTATAAAGCAATTTTTCTATAATTTTTTATAGATATAGAATTTTATATGTCATATCAGAAGTTTTCTTCAATCGATACTTCTTTTCTGCGTATTTACTATGATTTTCATTTAAACGAATTTCTATAGTACAAAATTTATTCACAATTAAAATCTTAATTGACAGAGTACACAATTACGTGTGTATGTTAGAAATTTTATTAATAGAATTTTTATTTGACCGAATTGTCATATTGGCAAATTTTTACTTTACCAACATCTCAAATTTATAAAAGTTTATTTGAAAGAAATTCAATTTGTGTGACAAAGCTCAATTAGTAATAGAACAACATATCTCAATAATAGGGCTTTGTCGCACAAATTAAATTTCTGTCAAATAAACTTTTGTAAGCTTGAGATGTCGGTAAAGTGGAAAATTTCCCATGTAACAATTTGTTCAAATAAAAATTGTACGTATACAAAATTGCTCAAATGGAATTTCTGGTAAATAATATTTCGGAGAAATAAAAATTCGGCCAAGCAGGAATTTTTTAAAATATTTTTTATGTCTATTAAAAATTCGTCTAAATGACATTCTGTTCGATAAAATTTCTAGAAAATTAAAATTAATTCGATAGATTAGAATACGCCGTAATGTATAATATTCTGTCAAATAAGATTTTGATATATTCAATTTTAATATTTTTTAAAATTTAATTATTTTCCAAATTTTTAGTTAAAATTCTTCAAAAACTACGATTATATTTTTAAATAATTATAAAAAGTAAAAAATAAAATACCTAAAAATGCAGAAGACAGAATTTTCAATTTTCAAAATATAGAATTTTCAATTGTTTCAATTTTTTAAAATTGTTTACAGGAATTCAATTACCCTCAAAAAATGTTAATTACATTTTTTGAAAAAACAAATTTTCTTAAAATTTATAAATTAAATTATTCAAAAGTTACATCTAAATAAAAATTAAATTATTTACATGGTGTATCGACTGAGCATCTACATAGTTAAGTGAAATGCTGCTAGGGGGCTTCAACACTTGACTCAATGCAAAATGTCTCTCGCAAGTTGTGACACAAAGTCGATGGTTAGTATATAAGGACAAACTGAGTTCCACCTTTCGTACTTGCTTCGGCAGTACATATACTAAAATTGGAACGATACAGAGAAGATTAGCATGGCCCCTGCGCAAGGATGACACGCAAAATCGTGAAGCGTTCCACATTTTTTGCCATTTTTTATTTAATGATTTTCGTAATTTACAATTATTAAAAGTTTCACAATTTTTATTAATAGTCCCCAACTCAATTGATCAAAAGCAGGGATGGCATAACCGAAATCGATAACCTAAAAAACAGAAATTTAAAAAAAACTGAAACCAAAAACAAACTTTTGTTTGTGTAACGCTGGGAGCAAAAGTTTTTTTAAAATTTTTTTTCTACACTTTTACGAATTTTTTCTTAAGAAAATTCTGAGGAAATCGTGTAATATTTCTAAATATTAGGTCTTAGGTTTTGAAGGTACACACCTCAGGAATATTTACCACCAAAACTTTGATGATTTTGCACAGCGGTTTTTTTAAACAAATATTAATTCCCAAAATGAGCCTGTGGGGTAAACCGGCCGTAGGATATATATTTTCATTGTATCAGAGTTTGAAGAAAATTATTATTAATTAGAATGTTTTTTTCATTAAAATATTTACTTTCAATGAAAAATAATTGTCTTCCAATGACAATTAGACCCTTTAATATATTGTTTGTATTACATGTAAAAATAATCGAATTCTTGCGAAGGAGGAAATGATTCTGCAATATTCTGGATAGTGTTAGTCAAAAAAGTCAAGTTTCTTAGCAATTATTTAAATTAAATTTATCAAATTTTTTGCAAAATTTTACCAAATACTAAAATTAATTCACAATTTTAATAAGGTCTGAAACTGGAAATATAACATTTTTTCAGTACCTATAGAATTTAAATTTTTTTAAATTATTATTTTTAAACAAAAAATAATCAATAAATTATTATTATTATTATTATTATTATCGTTTTGCAGAGAGAATCTAGTATGAGGTCTGAATCCTCAATTTGTATATATTACTATTTGAATAGTCTCCACCCTTTAGCAAAAAATAAAAAATTATTAAAAATTATAAAAATTCGAAAAACCGAATTTCTTAAAATTCAACATTTTTTCTTCTCTTTTGTGGCATTTAGCTTTATTATTTTTGGGCTCTTCAAAAATACTTTACTTATTTAATAGTCTCCAACCTTTGGTAAAAAATCAAAAATTATTAAAATTATCAAAAATCCGAATTTCTTAAAATTCAACATTTTTTCTTTTTTTTGTGGCATTTAGCTTTATTATTTTTGGGCTCTTCAAAAATACTTTACTTATTTAATAGTCTCTACCCTTTGGTAAAAAATTAGAAATTTTTAAAAATTATAAAAAATTTGAAAAACGGAATTTCTTAAAATTCAACATTTTTTCCTTTATTTTGTGGCATTTAGACTTATCATTTTTGGGCTCTTTGATAAAATACTTTACTTATTTAATAGTCTCTACCCTTTGGTAAAAAATTTAAAATTTTTAAAAATTATCAAATATTTGAAAAACCGAATTTCTTAAAATTCAACATTTTTTCTATTCTTTTGTGGCATTAAGTTTTATTATTTTTGTGCTCTTCAAAAATACTTTACTTATATAATAGTCTCTACCCTTTGGTAATAAATTTAAAATTATTAAAAATTATCAAAAATTTGAAAAACCGAATTTTTTAAAATTCACCATTTTTTCTTTTCTTTTGTGGCATTTAGCTTTATTATTTTTGGGCTCTTTGAAAAGATTTTACTTATTAAATAGTCTCCAACCTTTGGTAAAAAATAAAAAATTATTAAAAATTATCAAATATTCGTAAAACCGAATTTCTTAAAATTGAACATTTTTTCTTCTCATTTACTGCATTTAGCTTAATTATTTTTGGGCTCTTAAAAAACACTTTACTTATTTAATGTTGCGAATGTTACTGGAACATTACGTGCTACCCCAGTAAAAAAAAACTAATTCAAACGGCGAATTAGAAAAAATTAAAGGCCCCAAATTTTGTCCATTGAATTAGTAAGAATAGAAGATTTGGGATTTCAATACAGTTTGACGAATTCAGGAAAATTGCAACATAGCTCCAATTCGTATTTGTCACAAAGCGGGATTCACTGAAGCTCTTTGTGAATTCTTTTTAATTTATTTCAATTAGTTTTTTTACTGGGTACTGGGGAAGTAGAATGAAAATGATTATTATTTATCAATATTTTCATTTCTGTATAGGTATGATAATATTTGAATTTTTAAATTTTAGATTTAAAATACCTCATTTTTTTCTATATGATAAAATTGAAATTAGAATTACCAAAAATACAAATTAATTAATCAGAAAATATCAATACCAGCTTGATGCTTGCTTAAAAATTGAGAATTACTATTTTTTAGAAAAATGTTGATCTAAAAAAACAAAAAAAAATTTCAAAATACGTCTTTTTTAAAAATTTTATTGTAGAAATGGGTTGTGTTTATCTGAAAAAGTTAGCTAAGAATAGTTTTGCATTCATTTTACAAAAAATAAAAAATTTGCATTTTTTTGATTTTTCGAATTTTTTGGAAAAATGTCATAACTTTCGTTCAAGTTAATATTTTTTAATCGGATAAGGCTATGATTTTAAGTTACGTTAATACCTAATAAACTGCCAAATTTCACTTTAATTGGGTAAACCGTTTTCAATTGATGCGCGAACAAAATTTTGCATACAGACAGAAATTCTTTTTTCACATTTTTCCAATTCTAATGTCTCAAAACGAAAAAATATATAAAAATTTTCAAGTTTAGAGCAATGTACAGACAGAAGTCTGATTTTATTAATATAGATAGATTATATTCATAGTGATTTAATCACTAGAAAAAAATTAACATTGGTGAATTAAAGTTTCAAAAGAAAAATTTACAATTAAAGACAATTCTTAAATTGAAGTTTTGATCAATTGAGTTGGGGACTATAAAAAAAATGATGAAACTTTTAAAAATTGTAAATTACGAAAATCATTAAATAAAAAATGGCAAAAAATGTGGAACGCTTCACGATTTTGCGTGTCATCCTTGCGCAGGGGCCATGCTAATCTTCTCTGTATCGTTCCAATTTTAGTATATGTACTGCCGAAGCAAGTACGAAAGGTGGAACTCAGTTTGTCCTTATATACCAACCATCGACTTTGTGTCACAACTTGCGAGAGACATTTTGCATTGAGTGAAGTGTTGAAGCCCCCTGGCAGCATTTCACTCAACTATGTAGATGCTCGTGCGGTAAAAGCAAACAGGAATTTATTAAGGGTTCATAGCACTTTGTCAACTTCAAAAAATCGATTTATTTTTATTACGTATTTCGAAAGTAAAATTTCTCAAAAATGTATAAAAATTTTTGAAAGATCCCAGCACTCTAAATATATTTTTTTCATTGCTATTTGAGCGCAATCATAGAAGCTATGTAAATTTACAACAAAAGCTTTAAACGCGTTTTTCACGAAACCATATTTTTCCATTTTGTTATATTGTTATTTTTTTATAAAAATTAATAATTCTAGTTCGGACAATAACTACAATTCTACTGAACTTAAATCTTTTTGGTTTTTGCATTTCTAAGTTTTCTAATCTGAAAAAACACATACACAGGTGGCATCGGTATAATTTCTAGCAAGGTGTGTATATATACACTGGGGTGTATTGAAATTTTATCGCACTTCGTTATATATAGTTTAAAATTTTGTATGTTGAATTTTAATGAAAATTCTTTGTTTTAAACAGTATAATTTTTCGAAAAGTTTTTTTTTTTTAAAGAAAATTAAGAATTATTTAAAAGACAAATTGTGTATAGAAATCACCAAGATAGAAATGGTTTAAATAGTTGTAAGCAAAGGTTCTTAACCTCAAAACATATATTTTAGCATATTTTGAAGTTCCTGTGAAGTAAAAAGTGTTAATTCCACTACAATTTTTTTATAGAATTCTTTTCAATTCCGTATATATGTAGACAGAAACTGTTTAAAATCCATTAAATATGAAAAACATTGAAAAAGAAATTTCCAAATTTTTCTCCCATGAGAAATACATTGAGTCGTCTGCTTGTTTTCTTTCCAGCTCTGACGTCATACTCGAACTCGAAATATCTCGATGTAGTAAAACAGCCTAATGCTAAGTTTACTGTTTCGTTACGTTACGGTCAAGATTGCTATTGTGGACTCAACCTAGGCGTAAAGCATTCGGGAATATTTTTTTTTGGTATTTTTTTTACGGACGAGGTGTAAATGCACCATGACAAAAACTTTGTGTTAAACGACTGCAGTTCCATCTAGTGAATTGTATGCATTTATGTTCGTGTCGAAAGTATAAAAAGTAGTTGCATGCAGACATCTTATACTTTGCAATGTTTCATGACTAAACTTGTTTGAAAAAAAACATTTATTTGTCATACACGTGCGTCCTGTTATAAATTATTGACATGTGAGTATGTTTTCATATTTCAAAATTGTTTTCAAAAATGTATTTTTCCTTAAAAAATGGTCTGACAATACAATTTATTATATCATCTTTTTATATACATACATAAAATATTATACAATACTTCTTGTATTTAGACATTCTTTTGTTGGTTAATAAATACACTTTTATTATTTACATACTTTTTATTAAAACCAATTATTTAATTATTCTGTAATAAAGTTCTTATTTATATGATTGTTTTGATTTCATATTTCATATATTTACCAACTAGTTACGAATTTTTACAATTCCTTTTTAAAGATATAATGATATTTGTACATTGATTTCCATAAATATAGAAAATTATTCTAGGAAGAAATATTTTTGAAAGATCTGTAATTAATGATTAGTGAAAAAAATTATGTGGTAAAATTTTTCACTTTTAGAGGTTATGTTTTTATGTATTTTATTTATATGATTAGTCGATTAGTTGTTGATATTTATTTTTATATCACAAATTTAATGAAAAACAAAACGTTTTAAATATAAAAACATTGTTATCAAAATAAATTATTGGAAATTTTTTATTTTAAAATTTCTCGGAATAAGAAAATATGGATTTATCGTTTCTATAACAACAAAATTTTTGTAGTAGTAACAATACAATACAATAATAACAAACAATACAATATTATATATAATAGTAACAAAATTTTTTTTTATACAATTCTTCACAATAATTCAATTATTTTTATTAATAGTAATATTTTTCATAGAAATTCAATATTCTAAAAAAAATTTAATAAAATTCTAAGCAAGAATTCAATTATTTTCATCAATAATAAAACTCGTCGAAGAATTTCAATTATTTTTTTTAATACTATTTTAAATTAATTAATCAAAAAATTCAATTATTTTTACAAATAAAATTTCCTACAAGAATTAAATTATTTAAAATAAAATTTTTCAGAATTTTAATTAGGTATATTTCGAAAAAATTAATTATTTAAAACAATATTTATAAAATTCTTATCTGAAGAATTCAATTATTTTCAAAAATAACAAAAATTTTCACAGAAATTCAATTCGGTTTAAACATTTAAATAAAATTTTTCACTGGAATACAATTATTTTCAAAAATAATAAAATTCATCTCAGGAATTCAATTTTTTTTTGAAAATTTTAATAAAATTCTTAGCAACTATTCAAATATTTTTTTTATAAATAATAAAATTTATTGCAGGATTTGAATACAATTTTACAGGAATAAATTGCTCAAAAATGTAGTTATTCTTAAAATTTTAATTTCAATTCCTCAAAAAAATCATAATTATTTTAAAAAATGTTTTTTTTTTAAATTTTTTGGAAGAATTCAATTATTTACAAAAATTTTAGAATTTTACACAAGAATTCAATTATTAAAGATAAAAAACAAAATTATTGCCGAAAAATCAATTATTTTGAGGCATTTTAATAAAATTCTTTGCAAAATTCAATTATTTTCATAAATAACAATATTCATTAGAAGAATAATTTAATTATTTTCATGAACAATACAAATTTCTCAGGAATTCAATTATTTAAATTAGAATTTGCATAAAATAAATCGAAAGAAATTAATTATTTAAAATTTTTTTTATAAAATTGTTCGCAAGAATTAAATTATTTTTATAAGTATTTAAATTTTCTCATGAATAATAAAATTCGTTGCAGGAATTAAATTTATTAGTAGGATAAGAAAGAAATGAATATTTTTGATAAAAATTAAAAGAAAGTCAGGAAAATAAAAAATATGGAATATAATTTTTGTCAGTTTTGTGAAGTGTCTAAAATGAGTTTTTTTGGTCGTCGAGTTTAATTTTTCAATATTTTTTTTACTACTTTTTTTAGTTTGAATGCTACTTTTTGCTACTTTTTTAAAATTAATTATCGAGTGCGAAGTCTGAAAAAATGGAACGAATTTCGAGCTGCAAGTTCGAAATTTTAAGGACTTTATTTATTAACTTTCAAAGTTTGCAGAAAAATATTTTTTATTTACGTAAAGCTCCCCCAAATATACTATTTTATATTAATATTATCTAGATTTCTATAAAGAGAAAAGAATCAAAAATGAAACTTAAAATAAAATAATGTTTCTTTTATAAAGTAAAATCATAGTCTTTCAGAATAGCGTAAGTGTAATATTTTATAAAATTAATTTGAATAAATTTAATAATTTATTACTAAAAGTAATACGATACAAATGCGTTTAGAATATTATACTAATAATACAAAATTCTATTATATTATATATAACCGCTATGAATACCTTTTGATAGAATTGTTTTGTACGCAGCTTAACTTGGCATTATTTTGCACTCAACTTTGAGACAGAATTGTCTTGCACTGAATATTGAGATACAATACAACTGTTTACTTTACTTCATATTACACTTCTTTTTTAAATTTACATTTACATTTAAATTTACACTTCTTTTTACATTGATATTTAAGTTTGTATTTTATAAATGGCAGGGTTCGATTCGTTAAAACGATCGGAAAATTTTATATTTGAATTTTTTTTTTATTTTTTGAATCTTTTGTTAATTTACAAGGCAAAAAAAATATTCCAAAAACATAAGTAGGGGAGTGTGTTCAGTTGTGAGATAGTCGATTTTTTTAACACGCAATACTAGTCAGGGAATTTTGATTGGAATTCTTGAAAATTATTGTTTTCTAAAGTAATTGTGCTTATTCTTGAAATTTAATTTTTCTTTAAATCAATTTTCTAATTATTTTCATAAATAATAAAAAAAATTATAGATTTACAATTAATTTAATAAATAAATAAAACTCATCGCAAAATTTCAATTATTTTTAACACAATTTTAATGGAATTTCTCGAAAAATGTATAATTATTCTTAAAAATTTTATTAAAATTGAGGCTTTGGATCCAATAACTCGCCCGACGCTCGAAGCCACGCGCTAATACCAGTCGGGTAGCAGTGAGTGGCCCAGAGGCGCTCACTGCTCACTGACTGGCAGTTGCGCGTTCCTCCGAGCGTCGGGCGAGTTATTGGATCCAAGGCCTCAATTCATCAAAGAAATTCAATTATTTTCAAAAGTAATAAAATTTATCGTCAAAATTTGAATTATCTTTATAAATATTAAAATTTTTCTCCAAAATTCAATTATTTTTAAAAATTTTAATGAAATTCTTTTTAACAAATTCAATTTTTTTTCAAAAATTCACCTCCAGTCAATGATTTTTAATAAATATCTGCTATTTCAATAAAGTTTTCCAAAAAAAAATGAATTATTTAAAAATTTTTTTATCAATTTCTTCGCAATAATTCTATTATTTTTAAAAATATTCAATTTATGTTTACAGAGATTCAATTATTTTTATAATTATATGTAATACAATTTTTTTGAGGGATTCAATTATTATTTTTATAGATAATAAAACTCATTGCAGAATTTCAATTATTTTTGATACAATTTCAATCAAATTCGTCGAAAAATGTAATTTTACTTAAAATTTTATTAAAATTCGTTATAAGAATTTAATTATTTAAAATTTTGTTAATAAAATTTTTTATGAGAATTCAATTTTGAGAAACATTCAATTATTCAATAAATTATTTATTTTTGTATTAAAAATAATTAGGTATTTAAAAAGAAATATTATTAAAAAATTCTTCTCAAGAATTCAATTATTTTCAAAAGTAATAAAGTTCTTAGCAGAAATTCAATTATGGTCAAAAGTTTAATAAAAGTTATAGTCGAAATTCCAATTATTTTTATAAATATTAAAATTTTTCTCTAAAATTCAATTATTTTCAAAAATTTTAATAAAATTCTTGGCAATATTTCAATTATTTAAAAAAATTTTAATAAAATTCTTGACAAATTTTCAATTCTTTTCAAAAACTTTTCTCAATTCAATGAAATTTTTTTGCAGAGATTGAATTATTTTTAATACATTTTTAATCTAATTTCTCGAAAAATGAAATTGTTCTTAAAAATTTTATTGAAATTCGTCAAAAGAATTTTAATTACCTATTTAAAAATTTGTTGATAAAATTCTTTAAATGAGAGTTGAATTTTAAAAAACATTCAATTCTTCAATAAATTTTTTTTCTAATAATAATTGATTGAAATATGAATTTCAGTTAAAACTTTAGATAATAATTGAGTTTTGAAAAGCAGGTCTCAAATTATAATCTTTGAATGTTTGAATTGTTCATACGTTTAACTTAAAATTGTGTAGATTTAATTTTTTTGTAAAAGTTGAATTGAATTTTTTTGAAGTTATTTCAAGTTTTTATTTTCTAATATATATTTGATTGAAGAATTTCCGAATACGTGAATAATCGATGAAATCTCGTAAAATTGAATTGTAAACAAAAGGATTTGAAAATGTTGAAATAAATTTTTCAGAAATTATTAATAATAATTAATTTACACTTTATAAAGAAGAATTTTAGTTAAAAATTGTGGAAAACAATAAGTGAATTAAAATAATGAAAGTAATTTTGAATAAGTTACAGTAGCAATATTCTTATAATAGGTATAAAATGATGATTTTATCAGTCCAACATTTTTAATTATTATAAAACATGAAGATATCGATTGCTCCGAGTCGAAGACTCGGAGTGATCGATATTTTCATGTTTTATAACAATTTTATGTTTAATTTCAAAAAGGTTTGAATTAAAAATTTTGTAAAATATAAATGTAGTTTTAAAAACCTGGAAAAATTTCGTTTTTTAACCTGGAAAACCTGGAAAAGTCAGGGAATTTGAAATGAGTAAAAGCGTGGCAACCCTGTATTATTATTTAGTATATAATAATATATTTTATTAATGTATTTAATTATTTCTACTAAACATAACGTTTTATGTCAAACTTTTTAAATTTTATCAATTTTTAATAAGTGTCTCACAACTGGACACTGTTGACAAAAGCGATGTGCTCGGATAATTGATCATAACTTTTTTTGAGTCCATCTGAACAGTATACTTTCTTTGAATAAAAGTCGTGTATTTAAGATACTTTTCGAACGGTATATTTTATTTACAATTTCGTTTACCCATTTATAATTTATGGGTAAAAGACAAAACCCGTCTCATACCTAGACACACTCCCCTAGAAAAGTAAATAGCGATATACTGTCGTCTTTCTTCAACAGAATAAAATTTAATATTCATTTCATTTAGGTATTCTACTTTATTAATTTTTCAGTTTCGATAAATAAAAAAAAATGAGGGGAGTGAAGGAAGTTATTGTAACGAGTGACAGTACCGGAGAGAATTACAGTGCAGCCGTTTGGGATCCAACTACAGCATCACTTCTTTCGACATACAAACATGCATCGGCACTTGGATTTCACACACTTCAACTTCTTGGCGATAGTTATTTATTAGCAGCTGACGCAATGAAGCCATCGCTTCACCTCTGGCCTTTAAATAGTCAGAATACAGTTCCCAATCTCCATCTCTCAACTCCTGCTAAAGTCACTGCTTTAGCTTCCACTCCAAATGGATCCTATCTTGCAGCAGGTTTAAAAGAGAAAATTTCCGTTTGGCAAGTTTGCACAGGTAGGCTCCTCGCAACTCTCGCTGAACATTTCCAAACTGTGACCTGTCTGGTATTTAATTCAGACGGAACTGTCTTTGCAAGTGGCGGTGAAGATGGTTTAATTTTCCTCTGGTCTCTCGCACAAGTTGCAACGGGGCAAACGAGTCCAATGCAATCGTTCACAGTTCATTCACGAGCAATAAAAGATCTTTACTTTGGTAAATTCGGCTTAAAAGGTAGATTATGTTCCGTGTCCGCTGATTGTACGGCAAAAATCTTCGACGCTTGTATTGGCAAAGTTCTTCTAAACGTTCCATGTGATGCTCCTCTCTTGTCAGTGACAATGGACATAATTGAAAGTCGATTGTTTCTTGGCACTGCGAATGGAAAAATAATTCAAATTAATCTTCACGATCCACCTCGTAGTATTGAGCGTTTTGCATCGACGGATCAGGATAATGAAAAATCGGTGATAAATGCCCACGATGGAGGTGTTGTGACTTTATCGGTTTCTGTTGATTGTAAGACTCTCGTCTCCGGAGGAACAGATGGCATGGTGCATATTTGGGACATTCCTGCTCGTGAAATTATCAAGACTATTAAACACAAGGGACCTATTGTATCGGCTTTCTTTGCGAAATCATTGGACAATTTTCGAACAAGAACTCTTAAGCCAAGTGTTAATGTGAGACCTCTGCAAAGAACGAGTGATGATAGTAGTCAAAATGCTCATATACATGTAGCTTTAAAGGATGATAATATTACGACTCTATTGAATCCGGATTTGTATTTTAGCAATCAAACTGCAATTGCTTCTTCATCAGAAAATGATTCTGAAAAGTTGAAAACGGCTTTAAAGGAAATCGAAAATCTAAAAAGTGTGAATGCAGCTCTGTACCAGTATTCGGTTAAAAATTTACTTTCGAAAGCAAGTATAGAGTAAACAATATAGAGTAAAAATTAAAATTTTAAATAAATTATAATTTTATATAAAGACGCATTTGTATTCAGAAATAAATATTTTTTGACAGTCTTCTGATTTTATCTGTAGAGAAGATTAACCAAATTAAAAATTATATTTAATGAAAATTTTGTGAAATTAATGTACAGTTATGGTGGTGAGGGGCAAGGGGGTTATTCCTATTACTCCCATGTAAAATTTTGCATGTTTGTACATTTAGAAAAAAATCTCAGACTCATAATTTTAATTAAAAACCTATTTACTTTATTAAGGGCCGATTTCATCAACACCGATTAAAAGTTAATCAATGATAAAATCCTCAATTAACCAATCAGAAGCCTTTAAACTGTCTTTAATCATTGATTAACTTTTAATCGGAAGTTGGTGAAACTGGCTCTAAAAGAAACAAATATTTAAAAAAGATGTAAAAATTAATGACAAAATTTTTTTCAATACTTCAATATTAAAAGTTTTGTTCAATTAGTTTTTTTTAAAGAAGGGTAGAAATCATGACAACATATACAAAATTATTTTCAGGCTTCGCACTCATCTACTAAAACCTACTATTTACTACTTTTTTTACGTTATGCTACTATTTGGGTACTTTTTTCGATTTTAGCAACTAAAAGCTACTATTTCTGTTTATTTTTTATTTCCCACTACTTTAAATTCGCTAATACTAGAAATCAAAAAACTATAATTCTAAAAATTATAATCAAATTTCTTAATAACAATTCAATTATTTTCAAAAAATATTCGAAATTCAATTATTTTCAATGCCTAGAATTTTCATAAAATTTCGCAAAAGAATTCAATTATTTAAAAAAAAATTGATAAAATTCATTCAAAATTAAATTATTTTTAAAAAATAATAAAATTTCCCCAGGAATTCAATTAATTTAGAATAGCATTTTCAAAAACATTTCGAAAAAATCAATTACTTAAAAAAATTTGTATACAATTTTTCACAATAATTCAAATAATTTTACTAATAAAATTTTTCATCTGAATTCAATTTCTTAAAAAAATTTTTAATAAAATTCTAAGCAAGAATTCAATTATTTTCATAAATAATAAAACTCACCGAAGAATTTCAATTATTTTTAAATTCTATTTTAAATTAATTAATCGAAAAATTCAATTATTCCACAAGAATTTAAATATTTAAAATAAAAATTTCATAATAATTAGTATATTTCGAAAAAATTAATTTTTTAAAACAATGTTTATAAAATTCTTATCTGAAGAATTCAATTATTTTCAAAAATAAAAAAATTTTTCACAGAATTTCAAGTCTTTTTAAACATTTTAATGAAATTTTTCCCAATAATTCAATTATTTTCATAAATAATAAAATTCTTCACAGAAAATCAAGTATTTTTGAAAATTTTAATAAAATTCTTTGCATTTATTCAATTATTTTTATAAATAATGCTAATTTATAGCAGGATTTCAATTATTTTTAAGACAATTTCACAGGAATTGCTCAAAAAATGTAATTATTCTGAAAAAATTAATTTTCAATTCCTCGAAAATTTAATTATTTAAAAAAAAATTTTTTTTAAATTCTTTGAAAGAATTCAATTATTTTCAAATATTTTAATAAAATAATAGAATTATTCCCGAAAGTTCAATTATGTTGAAGCATTTTAATAAGATTCTTTGCAAAATTCAATTATTTTTATAAATAATAAAATGCTTTTTAGGAATTCAATTATTTTCAAAAAAATTTAATAAAATACCACACCGACATTCAATATTATTGTCAAAAAGTTTAATACAATTCTTTGTAAAATTTAATTATTTTTAGACTTTTTGCAATTCAATGATTTTCAATGTCCACTATTTTCATAAAATTTCCAAATGGAATTCAATTATTTAAAAAAAATTTTTTGTCTCAATCTTCGTAAGAATTAAATTATTTTCATGAACGATACAAATTTTGTCAGGAATTCAAATATTTTTGAAAATTTTAATAAAATTCTTTGCAACTATTCAATTATTTTCATAAATAATAAAATTCATCGCAGGATTTCAATTATTTTTAATCTATTTTTACAGAAAATGCTCTAAAAATGAAATTATTCTTAAAAATTTAATTTCAATTTCTCGAAAAAATCAATTATTTAAAAAAAATTTTTTTTCAAATTCTTTGGAAGAATTTAATTATTTGCAAAAATATTATAATTTTTCACAGAAATTCAATTATTTTCAAATATTCTAATAAAATTGTTGGAAAGAAATCTATTATTTTAAATAAAATTTTAATTCAATTTTTTTGTCATAATTCAATTATTCTTTTTAATTTTATTGAAATTCTTCCCAAAGTTCAATTATTTACATAAATAATAATTCTTGGACAGAATTCAATGATGTCGATAAATAATAAAATTCTTTGCAAAATTCAATTATTTTCATAAATAAAAATATTGATCACCAGAATTCAATTATTTTTAAAAGTAATCAATTTCTTTTTGGAAATTCAATTATTTGAAAAAATTCTAATAAAATCGTATTAACAAGAATTCGATTATTTTCAAAAATAATAAAATGCTTTTTAGGAATTCAATTATTTTCAAGAAAATTTAATAAAATGCCATAGGCATTCATTTATTGTCAAAAATTTTAATAGAATTCTTTGTAAAATTTAATTATTTTTAAAAACTTTTTGCAATAATTAGAATTTGCATAAAATTAGTCGAAAGAAGTCAATTATTTAAAATTTTTTTATAAAATTTTTCGCAAGAATTAAATTATTTTTATAAATATTTTTATTCTTTCATGAAGAAAGATTCGTTGTAGGAATTCAATTTATTAGCATAGGATAAGAAAGAAGTAAATATTTTTTATGAAAATTATGGAAAAGTCAGGAGAATAAAAAATATGAAATGGAATTTTTGTCATTACATTCCTTGACTAGAAAAATATATGCTTCAAAAGGTTACAAAAAAAAAAAAAATGGTTTTTTTTATTTAAAAGAAATATTATTTTTAGAATAGTTATTAATTTAATTTTTATTTATTGTATTGTCATTGACTGAAGTGCGTTTGTTTACTCAATTTTGCTAAGTTTTTAAAGCCTCTCCAGAATTGACTTGTTGAAGTTATTTTGAAGTGAAAAGTTAGAATTCAAACTTTTTCTTTTTGGACCACAATCTTGAGATTGTGGATGTCGTCAAAGTTTCAACGGTGTTTTGTTTTATCAGATTAGGACAATCTGAAAGGAAAGTTCTTTGATTTTCTGCAATTCAGGAGCGATAAAAAAAAAAGATAAAAAAAATTCTTACTAATAAAATATAATAAATAAATGGATTCTTCCTTGAGAATATTTTCCACTAATACTATTTTCATTGCATTTGTGCCTATACATAGAGCTGTGTTCAATGAAGGTACAACGTTGCATCGTATCTTATTAGAAACAAATATTCATGTCACACACTCGGCACCGGGTGGTGCCAAGTGTTTGACTCTTACCCTCCAATGCACGTGCGTGAGAAAGCACTTGTCCAAAATATTTTTTTCAAACTATTTCAAATTTCAAATCTTACAAAATTATATTTGGAGAAAGTCGTGGAAAAACCGTTTGCTGGTACAAAAATGGGAATAAAAATAATATTTTTAAACTATGAAAACATTTTACCTTGCGTTATGCTGCAATTTGAGCAAAAAATGATAGAAACCAATTTTTTAATGTCAATCTTTAGTCTTTTGGTTATAAAACTTTCAGTAAAAGAATAACACAAGTAAATTAAAACGTTATATTATTACATTTTCAAAAAAATTAATAATGTAGTTTGAAGATCTTGTAATTCGATAAACTTTCCTATACACCGTCAGTAGTGGAACGCATTTCTTTCTATTTTTTATTTTTTAAAGTTTTCATTTACAGTTCTAGAGTTTTTATTCGTTGCATTTTAGTCGTGGATCCCTTGGTGTATTCAGACTCGCATGAATTCCTTGTTCTACCATCAAAGAGAGTTGACTCTGTTCTGTGATTAAAGAAAATTATGGAGTACCAAAGCCAAATAATTACAGACTATCTTGTTCTGTAGGACAGAGGCCATCCAGTTTTCTCCAACTAATTCCCAAAATTTACATCCAGTTTTTATATGTTGATAACAGCAAATGTCGATAATTTACAAGTTAGAATATAAAAAATTATAACGATTCTTTAATTTTAAATATTTTCGTAATTCAAATTCATTCAATAGTTTTCTATGAGAAATTACATTGGTTAAGTTATTTTAATATATAAAGAATGTAAAAATATTTTTGCACAATATGTACTATATTAACACTACTTTTTTACGTTGAGCTACTATTTGGATACTTTTCTTTTTAGATTTCACCCACTAAAAGCTACTATTTCTGTTCTTTTTTTTAAATATCCACTACTTTAAATTCACTAATACTAGAAATCAAGAAACTATCAAAATCAAAAAATTATAATCAAACTCTTTAAAACGATTCAATTATTTTAAAAAAATATTCGAAATTCAGTTATTTTCAATATCAAGTATTTTCATTAAACTTCGCAAAAGAATTCAATTATTCAAAAGAAACTAATAAAGTTCATCAAAAATTCAATTATTTAACAAAATTTTTATACAACTCTTCACAATAATTAAATTATTTTCATAAATAATAAAACTCATTGAAGAATTTCAATTATTTTTAATACTATTTGAAATTAATTGATCAAAAAATTCGATTATTTTCACAAATAAAGTTTTCTACAAGAATTCAATTATCCTTATAAAGAATTCAATTATTTAAAAAAATAACAAAATTTTTCACAGAATTCAATTATTTTCATAAAAAAACAAAATTCTTCTCTGGCATTCAATTATTTTTGAAAATTTTAATGAAATTCTTTGCAAGTATTCAATTTTTTTCATAAATAATAAAATTCATCGCAGGATTTCAATTATTTTTAATACAATTTTACAGGAACTTCTCAAAAATGTAGTTATTCTTAAAAGTTTAATTTCAATTCCTTGAAAAAATGAATTATTTTAAAAAAGTGTTGTTTTAAATTCTTTGAAAGAATTCAATTATTTTCAAAAATATTATAATTTTTCGCAGGAATTCAATTATTTTCAAATATTTTAATAAAATTGTTCGAATGA